TTCATTTAGAAGTTTAGTTTATATTATATTATAGTACAGAAGAAGTAGAAGTATTTCATGCTGGAGATAAAACTTCTTTACATTCAATGTCATTGTTCAGATTGGAGATAGAACTATTTTACATTTACCATCCAGTACAGGTCCAATAGCCTTAAGTATGTTCTGACATGCATTACATAAATTATTCTGCTTTGCATTTTAGAATGTTGAACGCATTACCAGCAGAGCTGATAGACTACATTTTCCAATAAATCTTGAAACCAAGGATGTCCTAACATTTCCCTAGTCTGCAACTGATTTGAAGCCATTATTGATGGATCCAATCGACTCTTCAAATGTGTATCACTATGCAATGGTGAAATAGGGGAAAAGCAATTGCTACAGCTATCAAAACATTCTAAACAATTTGAAGAAATATAATTATATACACTGTATACATGTATGGAGCCATAAAAATATGTGTTGACCCCACAGATTTTGATTATCATCTGATACAGAGAATGACATTTAGCACAAATCTATATTATCTCATGCTGGATGCCAAAAGTAATTCTACATTGACATTTCTACGATTTACACCAAAGGACGATTCTCGGTTTGGAGAACAGTCTCCTGGGCTAATAATTTTTTTCATGAAAAATATAGAAATATTACCCAAATTAAACTATGAATATTCAAAAGAGGACATTTAAATCTACAAGATGTAAAAATAACAAATTGGTCTGAAGCAGGGATAATGCTCAATTAGACTGATTCAATAAAATACAAGTCTTGATTTTGGGGAAAGAAGTTCATCAGTGTACTGCGCTAATATTTTTTTGCAAAAAATCTAAAAATATTACCCAAATTAAATTATGACTATTCAAAAGAAGACATTCAAATCTATATTATGTAAAAAAAATCAAATTTGTCCGAAGCAGGGATAATGCTCATTTAGATTGAAGAACTTCGTTCTCCAAACCGAGAATCGTCCTTTGAAGGTTCTGACCATAGAGCACTGCAATAATTTGGTTAGTGATGACATTGACGCATCGAAGTACTGCAAGAATATAGAACTGATCCATATGTCCCATACTGGAATTATAGCCAGAAGTATTTTTGAACTGTGTGCTAAATGCAGATTTGGTGAACTCATGTATTGGACTGCTAAGGAATAGAGTTCATATTTTCGGAAATTCTAGCATTGACAACCATTCAAACACTGCATATTTTCAATCTTGGTGACAATGTTATGTCTGGCTCACAAAATATTGTCAATCTTGGTGACAATATTTTTTCTGGCTTACAAAATAATGTCAAACCTTGTGACTCTGGCAATGACAACACTAGTGAACTTGTGTGTGAAACTAATAACTCCATTTTGCTTGACTTGTTATGTCTGAATGAAAATATTCACGAATGAAGTGTTCATGCTAATCCTTGCAACATAACTGTTCACCAACCACAAACTCAAATGATGATGTTACTGTTTATGAGTCAACAGATCAAGACAATCCTGGCTCAAATAATATTTTCAATCTTGGTGACAATATTATGTCTGGCTCAAACAATAATGTTGATCCTGGTAACATCTTTGATGGATTAAATACCATTTCTCAATCTGACCTTGCAACCATCATCATGAACATGTAAACATGTAAACATGTAAAGGGGAATATCAGACCAGCACGGAAAATAAAAACTAGAAAAGATGGTATGGGAAAATGCAGATTTAAATTCACCAAGCATACTGGAAATTAGATACAAGAGACAAAGACCATTTTCTCAACAAAACTACTAAAAAGATGTAAAGCAAAGGCAAAGAACAAAAGCAGTTAAATCAAGAAGACAGTTTACTATACTTTATTTCTTTACAGTGGATGACACATGTGTGAGGGTCTGCAAGTATTATCTCAGCACATTAGACATATCACAGAGAACTGTAATAAATATGCATCGTAGAAAATGTAATATAGATGATAAAACTTTGCCAAGGGGGAAAAAACAAGGAATGTGTGCAAAGAACTCAACAAATGTAAGACAAAAATATGATGTTTGAAAACATATCGAAAATTTTCCTGTTGTAGTCTCACTACTGCCTTAGTAAGTCAAAGCGAGAGTACGTAGACAGTACTCTGACAGTAAGAAAAATGTTTCGCTTGTATCAGGAAAGTATGATAAAAACGGGTCAAGAGCCTGTGAGAGAAAACATGTAGAAAAGTGTTCAACGAAGAATATAACTATAGTTTTTTTAAACCGAAAAAAGACCTTTGTGATCTCTGCGAGGATAATAAAATAAAATAAAGAAGAACCTAGTAAATGAAGACCTCGATAACAAATATAAAATATAAAAAAACATAGACAAGGAAAAGAGCTTATTCATGCAGAGCGACAAAAAGACAAAAATTAACAGCAGTAAGCAAGCAACTATTTGTGTGGATCTACAGAGTGTGCGGACCTGCCCAAAAGCCAATATTAGTTCACTTTACTATAAAAGAAAACTTGGTGTCTATAACATGACATTTTCCACACAATACATGGATGAAAAGACAGGCACATACTGAACTTGGAATGAAAATGAGGCTGGAAGAGGTGCCTATGAGATTGCAAATTCTGCAGTCAATGCCATAAAAACATTTGTTACTGACACACCAAATATAGACACTTTAAATGTTTGGTCTGACTCATGCGTTGCACAGAATAAAAACTCAATCATGAGCATGGCCATTAAGGACATGTTTATTCCTTTTGCAGACAGAAAACCATCATTTACAGCGAATCAGAAATTTGGGGAACACAGCCACAGTGAGATATAGGAAGTTGATGCCATGCATAGCATAATTGAGAGATCGATCAAGCCAAAGGATACATTCAGCCCAAAGGCCTGAGATATGTTGATACAATGTTCATGAAATGAAATCAGAAGATTTCTTCGGTTCTTCGGTTCGTGTAAAGGTTAGCACTCTGGACTCCTGATGCCAAGATCCTGGGTTCACTCCCAGCTTGTGGCAACAGGAGCCAGCTTATATTAACTAGTACACCAGAGAAGAGTGAGTGTCTGTGGTCCTAGCCAGGATAAAGATACAAGCTCCTGTTAGATTAATTTGGGGAGCTGTTTCTACCTTAGGATATCAAGTTACATTATCCTACCACACGTTTATGCCCTCTGGTGTCTGTGTGAGATATAAAACTCAAATGAAAATGAAACAAATGAAAATGAAAGATTTTAAAGATTTAAAGAAAGCTAGTGAGCAGTTAGATTTCAGTAGTGTTCCATTGACAAAGGTTAAACAATTTACCTACAGCAGTAACTGAGTAATGCTCCGTTTTCACTGGAGTATCGCTGTGGATTTGATCAAACTCCTGTGCAGGTGTCACTGCATCGACCTACGAGAAAAAGATCACAACAAAATACACCAACCAAACATGCAGAAGCAGTGGCCAAAGGTCAGTAGGCTAAATTGCAGGTCACATGTGACAGAGGAGAAACGAGATGATGTAAGTGATATGATCAATAAGTTCACTATTTATATTACAAAATTGCCTTTCCCATGTATCTTTCATTAACAACTTTTTACTTTTAATATGTCAAAGAAAAATCACATCTCTTGTTATTTTTATGTAATTTTTATTCATGTCATAGTTTATTTTGAAATATAATTTATTTTTATAATAAAACATCACTTAATTATTTTCAAAAAAATTTGTTGGATTCAATTTTTATTGAATTGTACTCTTTGTAGTTTATGAAGCTATTCATAAATCAATTATTTCATTAAAAGAGGTTACCCTTCACAACAGTGTGACTTCCTAAACGATAGCTTTATCTAATTGACTCGTCTCTTTTTCCAATAAAAGGTTTTCCAAAATCATATTTTTAAAAGTAGCCTAAAACATTGGAATTTCTTGCTATCCTGATCAATAATAATTCTTCTCGACTGATTGATGTATAAACTTTTTATTTTGTTGTTACAATGAGATACGCCCTCAATGTTTGGTCTCCGTTTTCTCAAATATGATATACATATGTAAGTGGACCTTGTAGTAGTAGAGGGACACTGTATTCCAGTGTAATGAAACGTTCTATCTCCATCAAATGAACCGATCGTTACATTACAGATGCAAAAGCATTTTTTTAAAAAGTTGCCTTAAACATTGACAGTTCTTGCCATCCTGATCAGGAATGATACTTCTTGGCTATATGATGCATAAGCATTCATGTCAACATTCTACTTACTGTATCACAAAGATAGAGGAACCTAAATGTTTGTTCTCCATTTTCTCAAATATGGTACAAGTTGACATAGAACATTTAATAGTAGAGGGACGATATACGAGTTTGTTAACCTCAAGTTTCAATTACATGATTGCCTGTTATGCCCATTACAAAATATGGTACAAGTGGACATAGAACCTTTTAATAGTAGAGGGGCGTCCGATATACTAGTTTGTTAACCTCAAGTTTCAATAACATCATTGCCTGTAATGCCCATCACAAAATATGGTACAAGTGGAGATAGAACCTTTTAATAGTAGAGGGACGTCCGATATACTAGTTTGTTAACCTCAAGTTTCAATAACATCATTGCCTGTAATGCCCATCACAAAATATGGTACAAGTGGACATAGAACCTTTTAATAGTAGAGGGACGTCCGATATACTAGTTTGTTAACCTCAAGTTTCAATTACATGATTGCCTGTAATGCCCATCACAAAATATGGTACAAGTGGACATAGAACCTTTTAATAGTAGAGGGACGTCCGATATACTAGTTTGTTAACCTCAAGTTTCAATTACATGATTGCCTGTAATGCCAATCACAAAATATGGTACAAGTGGACATAGAACCTTTTAATAGTAGAGGGACGTCCGATATACTAGTTTGTTAACTTCAAGTTTCAATAACATCATTGCCTGTAATGCCAATCACAAAATATGGTACAAGTGGACATAGAACCTTTTAATAGTAGAGGGACGATATACTAGTTTGTTAACCTCAAGTTTCAATTACATCACCCCTGTAATGCCCATCACGTGATGCTAACTAAGACAGTTTGTCACTCTGACACCATTAAATAATACTCATTAAATTACGATTTGAGATCTTAGAAAAATCACAGACTCGTTGATAATCTCAATGTATTGACATAGTATCTCTATTGGTTTCACGTCCAGCATGAATCCAAGTATGTATGAGATCTTCAAACAAACCACAAGCTCTATGCCAGGACATGTCCTTTAAGTACATGGAATGTTTCAATCACAGGCAAGAATATTAGCAGCATGGCCAGCATTGCTGAAATCTACAAATGTTGCACCTTGATAGAGGATCAAGTCTCTTAAACAGCCCACGTAGTTCTCTTGGAATAGTCCTTCAGTCTCCTCCTGTATGGATCTATCCAACCCAAAACCACCTGAAAACAGTGAATGTTGGCGTTACCATTTTATGTTTGATGAATTTACACTGTAAATCAGTCATGTCTTACATGTAAGTGACATTAAGCCATTCACATTTTACACAGTCTTGGCACATAGATCGTGTGTAAATACTGAACATAAACAATTGAATATGGAAACAAAATACCAAATCTGTGGTTTGACTAAAACGCTAGGGTTTACAACTGAAAATGATAAACTACAAAAGGAAATGAACTACATGTACAAATATGAACTGTTGGGCGTTGGTAAAACTCATAGGTTCTGGGGCCGATATAAAGATGGCAGCACCAATAGATTCCAGTATTATCTTTTTCTCTGAGAAAATATTTGTAAACACAGATCGATTACCATGCCATCTTTATTTAAAAATTATTTCTATCGACCTTAGCCTATGGTAAAACTATTTTCAGTAAGTTATCGATGGCGTATGTATGATTTGTACAGAGATACATTGATGAAAGGGCAAAATACAATATTTGAAAAATAAGGCACCAAAAACACCAACTCATACAATGAAACAAGAAATGAAACCATATTCACAAATTGTATGTTAGTCTAGACTCACCTAAATAGGTTGGTCCATTTATGTTCAGTTCATAGAAGTCTCCCAAGGCTTCACTTGTATGTGTTTCTCCATCCAAGGTTAATGAGACACTTTGCCCAGACCTATGTGATACAATATAAGATGATATGAAAATGAAACTATATGAAAATAATATGAAAATATATGAAAATGAACAATGCTTAAATTATTGTCAAATATGATTGCAAAAAATAAACTTTATTCTATTTTCTCATTTGATAGGCAGTCTTTGATAACTATGTGGCAAGAATGATTTCAAATGGCACTTAAATATAACACAGAGTCATTGATCAAAAGTATTTTGAGTCAAATAAACAAAATTAAACAGATCGGACATAATTTCAGCTTGTCAAATTCAAACTCCCCTAACTCTATCTTAAAGACATAGAGACAGGTGTAATGTTGCAACATGAGTGGATTAATATTTGATCTTTACCTTGAAATGATGATGGAATGCCAGCTCCCATCATTAACTATGTTAGACGTGATGATCTGACCTCTAGATATCCAGCCAAGACTATACACTAGCAATACCCTTCCATTTCTGATACCAACTCCTAAGTAGTCCTGATCTATTGAATGCACCTATAATGAATATGTAATTGTGTTAGTGTATTTTCAGTTGGGGTACTACAGGGGTCTGTTCTTGTTCCCTTGTTTTATTTAGAAATGTCATTTCGTTTACAAAATAATATTGATTGAGAAATAGTCAGACTATAAATATATAGTAACAGAATGTAAAATAATGACTTCTCCCACCTGCATCACTTGATTATTTATAAGTAAACTCAATAATGTATCCCCTTCACAAAAAATGTTTGTTTCAAATATACATAGAAAATCAGAACTACAAACTTAAGATGGATATAACTGTAACAAATAACTTGCCTGGCCTTGCCATAGAAGCATTCCCTTGCCACTGAAGGTAGACATATTGAATGAGATATGGCTCTCTGAGAGGTTCCATGTTGGGGTGAATGCATCATCTAGTGCAATATGACTGTCACCTTTAAATCTTATAGAGGTTGATATTGTCACAGCTGAAAATGTAAAGAATGGTTGTGTCTATTTTGTCAAACTATGCAGTTTTTTTTTCTAGTGCTTCATCAACTATAAAATCTATAATCTATAAAAGAGCGATATCAAAATGGTTAATGGTATTTATGTATATACCTTGATCACAAAAACCTCCCCTCCAGCCAAGTGGACACACACAGCTGTATGTTTGTAGTTCCCCATCTGGTAGACAGGTGGCACCATTTTTGCACTGGTGACCTTGACAATACACAGAGTGCTGACATCTATCACCAAAGAACAGCTACAATGTCAATGATCATTTCATTGTATTATACAACCACTTGCCTCATCGCTTTTTCATTCCTTTGAGAAACATTCCTCCGGCATTGACAAGTTGTAAATTAATTGTAAAGCTTTTATTGATTTTTAATCTTAAATTATCAATTTTGAACAATTCCATTACATTAAGGGTTATCATGTTGTTTTTCTATTGCCAGGCAAGCGAGGCAAGATTTGGAAATATTCTTCGCCTCATCGCCTTTTCTTTCCTGGCTAAACATGTATAATACCTGTATAGAGTTGATATTTTACAACAAAACATTTGAAAAAATTACTAATAACTGCATTTTACCTGAGTACACTTGCAGGTAAAGTTCTGCATGTTATCTGATGTACAAGTGCCTGAGCTGAGACATACAGAAGAGCCACATGCGGTACCATCGCAGTCACCAACATTGAGCCCCCCGCTAGCACCTAGAATTACAAGAAAATGTTGTCAATATTAAACTTGAAAACAACACAAAGAATGTTCTGCAAACATGTGCAGTATGAAATACATAAGCTCTTTTTTAGTATTGAGTTGTTTTGTTTTGCTTATGTTTTGTTAAAAGTATAATATGAAGGGGACTAATACTTCTTTTATTTGATATACATCTTTTATTTTCATAGTGATATTTCACTTACACATCAACCATGATCAAGGTGGAGACATTCTCATTTTTAAGTTGAAGAACTAAGTATCTAATCTGGAGGGGACAGTTCCAGCCAGTGTCAGCATTTTTTCTAGGTGGCAGCAATCTATTAACTACTACACCATCTACCAGTAACCAACCACATTCTCATGTACAGGGTGATCCAGAAGTAACGTCAAAGATGTTGTAATTTCAAAAGTATTCATCAGATCTTCATGAAATTTGGTATACATGTACCCACAACATTTCTGAGTTACCATCTCAAAGATTGGAATTCAATCATTTCATTGGTTGAAATTATGGTTGCTATAGTAACCCGATATCGCGTAACCCGGGGCAAATTACTTAACGTGTAATGCGTAATCTCAAAATATCAACAAGATCTGAAATTGTTATATCCTCAACATTTTATTTCACAACAATATAAATCATACTATTGCACAGTTACTAATAATAGTTCATTCTACATAATTGCCACCATTTGCAACACATTTCTCATGTCTGGATACCCATTCCTTGAACACAGAATTAAATCCATTAGAACTCATTCCTTGTAGGGCTAGTACTACGGCATTTTTCAATTCCTCACAGGATTGAAAATTATTTCCACTAAGGTTTCTTTTTAGTTCCCCATACAAATAAAAGTCACTGGGGGCAAGATCAGGTGAATAAGGGGCATGTTCAAGTTGTTGAAATCCAAGTGTTTGGACTGTGTTGCTGGTCAGGATTGCAGTGTGCGTAGGGGCATTGTCCCAATGCAAGATAAACTGCTGCAGATGTCCGGGACGCTTTTTCCTCAGGGAACGTTGAAGATCACGCTTCAGAACCTGAAAAACAAATGTTTAATGGTTGTTAAACCAGTTGTTTCATTGATTGGATTTGGATTTGAATCATGGCCATGGAGTTATAATTATATTGACAGTGAACAACATTTAAAAATAAAATTCACAGTATGATGTATTATTAGAACAAATGATATCTTACCTTTGCAATGTAAACGGCATTAATTCTCTGGCCAATGGGAACAAAATGGGTTAACACCATTCCTCTAATGTCAAAGAATGTCACAACCATTTGTTTCTTTTGTGGAATTCCTGGTACTATTTTAGGCTTGGTTGGTGTTGGGGAGTTGTCATGTTTCCACGATGAACTTTGTTGCGTGGTCTCTGGGATGTAGAATGATAGCAATGATTCGTCACTCGTAATGATCTTGTTAAGAAAGTCATCTCCATCTCTCCGATATTTTGCAAGAAAGTCCCTTGAAGCCTTAACACGCCGGTCTTTCTGCTCCTGTGTCAAGTCATGCGGCACCCATTTAGCAGACACCTTCTTTAACAGACAGTTCTTTGTCAGTATCCGTTGCACAGTCCCATAGCTCAGATCGTGTTTTCAGCCAATTCTCTGATAGAAATTTGCCTATTGTCCATAACATCAGCTTCAATTGCTTTGATGGTTTGATCATCGAATGACGACACTGGCCTGCCTCCTCGCTGCTTGTCTACCACTTCATCATATCCACTGGAATACTTGTTAAACCACCTGTAAATGTTTCTCTCAGCAATGGCAGCTTTACCATATGCCTTCTTTATCTGTCTTATAGTCTCTTTTACACCTTTCCCCAACTTTACACAGAACTTAATGTTTGTTCTTTGCTCTATTTTACTCTGACTTGGCGCCATCTTGAATTGGGTGGGTTAGTGTCCTTGGTCATGTTAGTATTTGTCATGGATGATGGAAGCAATTCAAAGAAATTGAAAGCTTTTTATGAATGCCTATTGTGACATCACAACTATTACATTTTTGTTACCATGGCAACAAATATAAAAATCATAGAAAACAAACAATGAACATTTTCAAATGTTACTGACTTTTTAAATTAGAGAAATTCACAAAAACGTTATGGTTTCTCTTCAATTTGCCCCGGGTTACGCGATATCGGGTTACTATAGCAACCATAATTTCAACCAATGAAATGATTGAATTCCAATCTTTGAGATGGTAACTCAGAAATGTTGTGGGTACATGTATACTAAATTTCATGAAGATCTGATGAATACTTTTGAAATTACAATGTCTTTGACGTTACTTCTGGATCACCCTGTACATGCATTTTGACTTTACCTTGTTCTGTGAGCTGGTAAATCCTATTGTTGACTTCCAACACTCTGACGCATCCCTCATAGGTGGTTGACAGTCCCCCTGCTAAGGCATCAATGGCAACATCTCCGAGCTGATCTACTCCACCTTGACAACAAAATATAACGTTTTTATTTATTCTTTATTATTTGGTATTTGATTCTGAATAATAATCGTAATTCCTGATGGAGAAGGGGTTAGACATTGTTGCACCGCAAATTGGGATATTGGTGCTTTGTTCTCTCCATGACTGATTGTACAATTAAATGATGTTTATTTTTCATGTTTTGATTTAATGTTTCATCTTTCCCCATTTTCCATATAAACTGTATCAATGGTGCTTAAATACTTAGATTATCAACAAAATCCTAATTTGGCAATGAAGAGACAAATTGTTGTTACATTGTTTGCCATTTCTAAGATATTTATATTAAGACCTATCTAAAGAAATACCAAGGTTCTCAAATTCAAAGGCGTTCACAGTTATTCAGACGGTTTACTTTATGTACTGTTATAAGATGTTTGTCATATGAAGCTCTAGCTAGCCACCTGTATTTGTACATGTACAAGAAATTCTAATCATACAACCTTGTACAATATTCTCTGTTAAAAAGATGCACAAGAGTAGGCTACAGGTACATATGTAGCCTCATAATGAAATCTTACCAAGATAAAAATGTGAAGAGACATCTAGGGAGACCATGGTTGAGGTGTTATTCTTGTAGACTGCTACATCGTTAAGTATTAGGTAAGCATGGGTTGAATTGCGTCCTGCTTCTACCTTGTGCCACATCCCTAACACAAACAAAATTTGAATTTGGCATATCAGTTTTAGTTATTTCATATTGGATATTACAATTACTATTTCAATCATGTCATTTCAATGTTTATAAGCTATAAAGAGAGGGATATATAATTACCTGAGAGAGAAAAATTTTAATATTTTAGTTTGGTCCTCTGTCAAATTATGTTGAAGCATAATTTTGTTTTCGCTTTCTGCCAGTGCCAGTCACTATCAATTATTAATAAATTAATGATTCATCAGAAAACCTCTTACCGTTAGTGGCAGCATTAGAACTAGGCACTACCATAGTTGGTCCCTGACCTAGATTATACCTAAGTTCTATGCGTCCCCCAGTCAGCACAACAGCCAGGAAGTCTAGTGTTGTAGAGCTGAGATGTTGTGCTGCATAGAACAACAGGCCAGAGTCTGAATGGGGCTTGAACTCTATGTAGATATCTGTATGGTTGTCTATACGCACTGGGTTGAAATACATGTAGGAATCTTCACCAATGAATAACGGATCACTGATTGTTATATCTAGAAATATAAAATAAAATTTAACAGACATCTAAAATCATATCACATGAAATGAATAGGACTCAATATTTTCTTTAGTCATCAAGATTTGCAGATGGTTATGTTCAGATACATGGCGATATATTATATACTAATTATGTGTGTTAAAACCCTTAAAGGCCCCATGTAAAGTTTAAACCACTTTGGCTTATATTGTAGTCTTACCCAATGTTATCAAAGTGTGATATGTGAAACTTTTTTTTTTAATTTCAAAAAGTGGTTTTTGATAGACTTTTTGTTCCAAAATTTGTGAATTTATTTAAAACCAACTTTTAGAGGTCACTCATATCTTTTAATTAGCCACAATTCATACCAATGCATAGCATACATCCTCCCATGTTTTTTGCCGAAAAAATTAAGAAAATCGGTTGATAAACAAGCGAGAAATGAACTTATCAGTGCATGAAAATGGTTCTGAGAAAAATGCATTTCAAAATTTTAGTTCTCATAGAAACCAATGGTACAATGATATCTAAAACATAATTTATTCTTCCTTTTAACCTGGTTAGACAATCAACATTGTTTTTTTATGAAAGTCTAGCATATTTAGAAAAGATTGACATTGAAAAAAAAAATTCAATTTTTTTCAAAAAGTTGTTGTTACCTTAGTGACAACACTAATGTTTCAAAATATTTTTGATAAGCTAAAACATTGAAGTGGCCCATTGAATATGACATTTTATTATTGAAATAGCGTGTCTTTTGTTCAATCTTTGCATTGGTGTTAAAAATATAATCTTTTTTGAAATGCATTAAGAAATATTTGATGATTAAGAAATTTCAACTTTTTTTGAAAAATGGCGGGAAATTTGAATATCTGAGAAATGACATGCTCACAACTTTTTTTTCAAAAAAAATTTTTTGTTCAAAAATCTCTAAAATCACTTTTTAAGTCCTGACAAATAGTAAATGAATGATAAAAAAATATTTTCAAACTCTAGACGGGGACTTTAAAAGAACAACATTAAAGCTTACTTTCAAAGCACCTCAGACCAGTCTTTCCTAGAGGGCAATTACAGGTGGCTCCACCAAGTGGTTGCGGTGAGCATATAGCCCCAGGGGCACAGAAGTCCTGGGTATCACACAGGGAGATTGTATCTGCACAGAGTGGACCCTTGAATCCAGTTGGGCATTCACAACTAAATAAAAGTGATCGATACATGTATGAAAGTTGGAGAGGAAGGATATCCATATACATCTTCTTTATGTTCAGAGAGGTCTTTGTTGGTTTGTTCTGATAAAAGTTTAGAATATTCTTATGAGAGTTCTGATCACTGATTTTAGATAATGAAAAACAAATGTAATAAGCGATTTCACAAGAAATAATCTGGGTAAGCTGACATTTTAACATACATTTTGTGTACAAAAACATTTATGTTATCAATTGATATAAGAAGGAGCCAGTCTGCTAACTTACCTGAATGAAGCTCCAATATCAATACATGTGCCACCATTGCTGCATCTGTGTATGTCACACTCTTTGGCATCACACTGCTGGATGTTGCGGCCATTGAATGTAGGCGTGTACATCTGGATGGGAAGCAGTGCACGATACTTGCTGGCTTTGATCTTTACGTCAAATATACAACCTAAGATAGATCATTTATTGTAATAGAGAATTACTAAATCAGTACATTTGAACTATGAAAATGTGAACAACATTATTTCAGAAAATTAAAATGTCACTGTTATTGGTGTATTATTGTCATGCAGGAACTATATTATATTGAATGTTGATGTAAAATAGAGCTGTGGCCTTTTTTAAATTCATTTTTTGGCTGATTACTCATTATGGATTACTTATGGCAACCACTTGATCTCGCATCATAGATTCAACTCTGTGATAAAAAAGGAGATGCAATGATGATCAGAATGTTGCTTACCCTTGAATGTGTTATTAAAGCTAAGTATAGATGGCAGCAATGAGGCATCTAGTTCATCAATTCCTCCAATGTAAAGTGGGGAGAAAACATTTAAGCCAAATAGACTCCCCGATGACTGCCCAGTCATGTTTTGTTGATTATCAACCTTCAACCAGCCCTGCCTAGTATGTCTCCCTATATGTAAGGTGTGTATTTCTAATGTTGTGTTCAGTTTGCTATCACTGGCAATCACAGCTGGTCCTGTATCATAAAACATAGAAATAATATAGTACTATGGATTGGTTTGGGTGTCATATCTGAGGAAATATATATTTTTAATTTCTCTTAATCAAGTCGCAGGCATTAAACATATTCAGCATTGCCTAGTGAATCTCCCAATATATGAATATACATGGGTTTGTTTCACTGACAAGTAAAATGAGGCCCCGCAACATGTATGTACATGTTACATGTATGTACAGTATTATGACTCTGTTGTGATTTTGGTTGCATAATATTTTATAAAAAGGCAAATTGCATAATTAACTGTTGAACTTTTCACATGACTTCGGGAAAATGCATGATAAAAGGGAGAGAATAAGGTATAACATTATTCATAAAGAAAACATGCTTAGAGAATGTCAAATCTGTGGAAAAAATGTGTGGAAAATTATACAACTTAACCTACCTGAACCCAGATCATAGAAGAACACAACGTAGCCAGCCTCTAACATGACAGCAATGAAGTCATTACCATTTCCCGCTATACCTGGAAAACACAGAATCCAACAAGCTACTCTCTAGTATTCATAGAGTATCAGATATACATGTACATCAGCCTGCTTAAAACATTTCAAAATGGTAGTTTGAAATAACATCTAATGCTGACATTGACTCATATATAAGGTGATAATTGGGAATAGGAAAATTCTATAATCTTCAATCTTCTATTGGCAAATATGGCAAATATAGCTATGGCTATACAGAGCCTATACAATTGCTAATTGTACCAGTATGTAAACGCTTATCTTATAGGCAGTACTAAATGGTAATGAAAATTAATTAATTAACTTATTCTGAGCATTCATACATCTCTCATTCTTTATTATTATTAAAGATTTGATAGTAAATTGAATCATAAATACATTGTATTCTTGATACTAAATGTAGAGTCAAATAATACCCATATTCAGCTTATGCTACTTTTTAATTAAATGGTGACTAACCTTTTTGGCCCATAAAAAGCATTAACATTTTCTCATCTGGATTCCAGTCAGACATCAATTTGAAGTTGAACTTAATCTCCATTGTGAAGTCCATGCCTGTGATAGTGGGGTAGGCCATATATGATGGATAGTTGTAATGTACCCCAGAAAAAGAGGGTCTTGTAATGGAAAGCACTGAAATTATGTTTATTGAAATTATTCAGTGATGCAAACATGTGTTGAATATAAAAAAAATCATTTTGCAAAAGTGTTATCAATCATAGACTTGAAATTCTCCTAAAAGCGCACGTTAAAATGAACCATTAATGATTGAGATAAAGGGATCAAAGCCAACCATAGGTACATGTACCTCCTAATTTATAAAAGACTGCTTTCAGTTATTGTATTCTATGGAGTTTGTCTTGATTTAAGTCCTTGTTCAAATAATTGGCTGAAATTCTCAGAATGAGACTTACCATCAGAGCAATTGATCCCTCCATAGCCATAAGAACACAGACACACATAATTGTGCTCTCCTTCTCCTGATATACAGGTTCCTCCATGGCTACAGGGCTGGGCATCACATAGATGGTGCTGACATAGACTTCCTGAGTACCCTGTAGTGCACTTACAGAACCAACCCTCTCCATCTCTGTAAAAGAAATGCATGGAATATATGTTTTAGTAATTTGGTGGCTGTCAATTATAACATAGAGGGGCCTTGTGCTGAAATGAAGAGAACACTTGAGTTTTAAATCAAGAGGAGCTACTCATAGAAGTATAAAAAATTAATAGTAAAACTGCTTTGACAATACCGCTGTATAACAGCATCATAGCCAGGCACATGTACTGCAGATTAAGACCCTGAACAAACAAGAAATGTTTGAGTTAAAACATATAAAATGTCCCAGTAAATATCTTGCAAGAAAACTAAACAAGATAGGATTACATGTATAGCCATGAAGGTACACTATGCGTATGAATTATTACTTACAAGTGACAGGTGCCATTGTTATAACAAGGTTTGTAGCTACAAGCAGGAACATCACAGTCTCCAATGTTTTGTCCACGAATAGCCTCATCAAATATTCTGTACTCGTAACCATTAATCTACAACAACAAAATTGTGAAAATGATTACAATGTAAAATAGCTAGGAAAAAATTAAGGCAACGTTTTCCCTTCAATTCTCACCAATGCTCAGTTTAGATGCTGGATGGCAATTATGACTTTTAAATTGATTCAATCGCAAAATTGTTGACATATTCCTTGAAACGCCTGTCCTAATTTTCATTTACCTGTAAGTGTCTTATGCAGCCATTAAATCCTACCACTCCAGGAGACAAGGTCACATCTAGGGGTGTACCACCTAAGTAAACTGATTGTAAATTTGTTGGGTTGACAATGCTCGATGTCCTTATTGTCGAGTTGCTCCAGTTGCTACTGTTTACCAGTAAGCTGATACTGCAGCTACGCAACTCTGTGAAATGGCTGAAAAGGATATATGCGTAAAATAAATATTAATCTACAGTGTATCAAAGAGCTAGCCGCTGCAATTCTCAATCTAAATAAATCTAAAATATTTTAATGTACAAGTGTAATAATATGACACTTAGAAAGTCAATAAACTTGGACATTGACCTTCAATTCTGTATTGAAAAATTGTTCAGGTCGATAATGAATCCTAATCAATTACATGTACGTTACCAGAAAATATAAAAAATATTTTGACTGATTTCAAATTTCTTACAAAATATCCACTGTTGTCAAGGCACCAGTGTCCACTGCAATATTACTGTTAATATTCAGAACATTGTTGCTGCCACATGATACATAATACTTCAGCAGTCCATTCTCCACATACAGGTGTATGAAATCATCAGTGCCATCATTCCCACTAGCAGATGTGGCAATGAGGATGGAACCTTGCTTGGAGGTTGACCTGAATGACACAAATATGTCTTGCACAGTTGGTGATGGTGTGCTATGCTCTAGGTAGGAGTTCCCGGAGAATGAGGGGAAGTAAACAGATATCTCTGAAAACAAGATTAGGTAAAAAATTAATATTAAATAAATTTGACAGTAGTTAACATGGGAAATTTACAATTTCCAGAACATTGGCTGTTATTATATACATATACACAAATAAAGCAAATTACAGCAAGTGTTTTCTATATGCAGTTACCTCACATACTATACTTGTACAACATGTACAATGTATGTACAAGAACAACAATTACTCAAGGAAACAAACAAACAAACCCTGTTCACATCTTGGCCCAGAGAAATGCATTAAGCAATCGCAAACAAGGGCAGTCTCTCCATTTTCTCCAACTGTAGTTCTACATGTGCCTCCATTCACACACTGCATATTTTCACAGTCCATTCCTGGTTGAGCTGTGCTAGGGACAATCTCTGTTGTTGTCTCTATGTGGCCACACGCATGGACATTCACCTGGAAATTGAGAACAATGAAAATGTTTCATGATGATTGCAATAGCAATAGAAAATACCCATGTTAACTAACTATCACATTATAGATATTTATCAAAATAAAGAAAACTTATTGTGAAAACCCTGTTTCTTTTTAGATAAATGGAAAAATAAATGGAACTTGAGCACTTAGAATTGAAACATGTTGCAATTTGCGATGTAGCAAAAATTGACTTCAAAATGTTTTCATATAACTAGAAAATAGCTGAAAATGTTAATTTAACAACTTTTGAATCTCATATTTTATGTTTACTCAAGGGGCGAGGAGGAAAATTCTCAATAAATGGTGTATAGTTGGTTTGGCAGCATTTTCAGTTAGGGGAGAGTCTTGGATGAAACTTCCACCTAGGTGATAGCTTCACAGAGTGGTAGGAAGTTCTTTTTTTGAGGAGTTAGCCCCCCACCCCCCAAAAACACCCCACCTTGGGGGAAAAAATTGTTCACACTAAATAACCTTAGATATTTTGATGTTTGTAAGTGACATACATAGATATTATATATATGAATCACTTGCAGTATAATTGATGCTGATAACTCCTAAAGAATTTGAAAATTAGTACAAAGTATGTACCCCAGGGGGCAAATTTGTGACTCATTTTCTTACTATTTTGATTCTAACTTTTCAATTAGACACTGTAAGAGGTTGGAAAAATTCATGTGAAGTGCCCAATAGCAGGGTTAGTAACCCTGAAAGATGCAAAGCCATGGAAGAGGTAGGAGCTGAGAAAAAAATTGTTGATTTTTCGAAAAATTTGACATTTTTGTCAGCTGGATTTTGTGTATGACTATAGCTGACCCTTATAATTTCTAGATCCATCCCTCTATGATGATATTTATGGTTTTATTGTGTGAAACTAAGATGTAAAACATAATTTAGATGGGTTTTAAGGAAGTTAAAGGTTTTAAACAAGTCCAAAATTTGAAAAATTGTAAATATAAGGTTTCAAATTTACGAATTCCAGGTATAGCCATGGCTGACCCCTTTAGTTTCTAGATCCATCCCTCTATGATGATATTTATGGTTTTATAGTGTGAAACTAAGAAGTAAAACATAATTTAGATGGGTTTTAAGGAAGTTAAAGGTTTTAAACAAGTCCAAAATTTGAAAAATTGTAAATATAAGGTTTCATATTTACGAATCCCAGGTATAGCCATGGCTGACCCCTATAGGTTCTAGATCCATCCCTCTATGATGATATTTTTGGTTTTATAGTGTGGCTCTATGATGTAAAACATAGTTTAGATGGGTTTTAAGGAAGTTAAAGGTTTTAAACAAGTCCAAAATTTGAAAAATTGTAAATATAAGGTTTCAAATTTACGAATTCATGGTATAGCCATGGCTGACCCCTATAGTTTCTAAATCCATCCCTCTTTGGTGATATTTATGGTTTTGTAGTATGGAACTAAAGATGTAGAACATAATTTAGATGTTTTTTAAGGAAGTTAAAGATTTTAAACAAGTCCAAAATTTTAAAAATTGTAAATATAAGGTTTCAAATTTACGAATGTTAGGTATAGCCATGGATGACCCTTATGGCTTTTTCATCCATACCTCTATGATGAAACATATATTTTTAGAGTGTGAAACTAAGAAGTAAAACATACCGAAGATGAATTTAAGGAAGTTTAAGAATTTTAACAAGTGCAATGTTTGAAAAATTGAGAAATATCAGGTCTCAAAGGAGCACGGAAAGTATCGCAACATATTTCAGACAGTCATATGTTAGATTTCGTCTGTTTCCTGAGGACTTAACCAGGTGCATATGATAGGCCATTGCATTACCTACAGGAAAAGAACTCTCAGAGATGATAAAATAGTTTGGACTTTGAGACATCGAAGGTGCAAACAATCCAACAACATGTTTTTTCGGAAATGTTGTCCTGATTTTCACGCCCTTTCACCCCTGCTTTTTAAATTTTTGTTGCATCAATATGTTGCGATTTTGAGACATAGTTAACCCATAAAAAGGAATAATAAATTTCTTTTAGATAAAGCAGAAAACAATATTTTCCTGTTATTTTCCCATAGGGAAAACTCATGTGCTCCATTACTTTCAGCTTAATTTTGGTCACCCATATTTGATATCTTTTAAACCCCTGATGGAATGCATTATTTCTTTAAAGGGGTTAACTGTGTGTCAAAACACAACATATTGATGCATGTGGGTTGGTTATGTTTGCACCCTGTCTCAAATAGAAATTATTTTATCATCTCTATGAGTACCCTGCCTGCAGAGTCTAGTTAAACTACAGACGCAGCTCTCTTTTAAGAAGTGAAGTCAAACGAATGCAAAGGGTACTCTATGAGTGCTTTTCCTGGAGGAAATGCATTGGCCTAACATATGCACCTCCTTAAATCCTCAGAAAATAGCAAAAATCCAACATGTAACTGTCCTAAATCTGTTGCGATACTTTCAGTCCTCCTTTACGATTTCAGGTATTGCCTTGGATGTCTCTTTTTTGAATGTATGACTTTTTAGCTTAGAAATTAGATGTTGAAAATATTGTGGTCAGGTTTGATCCATGTTACTAGTATTGTTAAAAGAAAAATCATTAGAGTTGAGGACCTTACCCTAGAGTTCCTAAGGGGGTGAGAGGTTAATAAATCCCCCCCCCCCCTAAAGTGTAACTGCTCTTAGGGATATCGTATACAGTGTAGAAATTGATTGATTAAATGGATTATAACTAATTAATTATTATTTGATGATATTTATTATGTGATATAGCATTTTTACTTTTTCACATCAACATGTTCGATGTAATGTTCTACATGATTTCTCTATATTTTGTTATGCATCTCCTAATACAAAATATTATTATAAATTATCAAATTATAATCACTACACTCCCAATAAAACAACTTGTCATCAGGCAACAGTAATTATTTGGGAAAATAAGGATTATAAGGATCATACCCCGCTTGGCCTAGAAACTCCCGTTAGTGCAATGAGATTAGGAACTCCAGGGTAAAAGGGTCTTTTCACACTAAAATCTTCATGTAGATCAAAAAAGTATATATGGTGATATACATGATCAATATGTTTCAAACAAACAGACATTGTAGAAAATGTTTACATACTGACTTTGCAGATGACATTTTCTAGCAGTTGAAGAATTTTTTACATTTATTGAAATGATAGTCATAAAATTAGAATATCAGTGTCATTTATGATGTCAGTATAGATACGAGGGGTGATCCAAAAGTCTTGGACGCATTGCTTGAACTTTGCTATTTTCTAATATAATTACATGAAACTTTCAGATAATAAAGATCAACATCTTAACAATTTTGTGTATGAGTTTCAACAGAAAATAATATATTTTAGCTACTTTTCTAAATATTTTTAAATACCGGGTCCCTGCCACCCGGAACGGTATTTAAATATAGCAAAGCACGTCACACCTACGGTTAATATGGCAAATACTTTAGGTGCAGGTGCACAGCCTTATAATACTGGTCATGATATGAGAGAATTTCAGATTTTCAATCTAATTGTCATCTGTCATCATCATCGTCACATATTAATACCTACTTTTCTAATGTTTTAAACGAATTTGAACACAAAGTCTTTACCAATGAATGGAAGATATTTATGAAACTGCCATTGCTTATATGATACAAACGCTGCTGGAGTGCCACTCTAAACCTTATCAAATGAATAAAAACAGTTTCTTCCAACCCTCCTTTTCAACTTGGAGAAAAGGAAGAAAATCTCACGGAGCCATATCTAGACTGCATCGTGCATATGGTTGCTACTCAAGGTCAGTAGTAGTGAGAATATCTTTGTAGTATTCTTTGTTCCACCTTGATTTCTTTCATGTGCTGCATGTTCTCTCTTGATATGGTAGCTATAATCATATATATAGTTTCCATATTTAGCAAAACATGGGAAAATGTTTTAATATGGTCAATATTGATCATTTAAAAATCTAGTGCTTATTTCCAGTGAGCTGCCATCTTTTAAAATTTCTTGAAGGAAGTGATGTCATCAACTCTACTCTAGCTTACTGGAATTGAGCATCACATTTCTAAGTGATCAAATTTGACCATATCAAAACATTTTTGCGTGTTTTGCTAAACATGGCAAGCATATATACGGTTATAGCTACCATATGAGGAGAGAGATGGTTTGGCAAGGAATATTCCTTTAACATTCAAAATTCAAAATAAGATAGTGATCAAGACTTGCGAAACAAGTCAAATGGCGGCAACATTTAAGGCTGAAAGTTGCCATGTGTGAATACCGTTCCGGGTGGCAGGGTCCCTATATTAAAAACTATTTAGAAAACTACATAAAATATATCATTTCTCCATGAAATTAATACACAAAGTAGTTCAGTTGTTGGTCTTTATTATTGGGAAGTTTAAAGTAATTTTATCAAAAACCAACAAAATTAGATCAGGCCGTCCAAGACTTTTGGATCATCCCTCGTATTATTAATATTTTTCATTGAGAATGCATTCATATTTCTTCAAAATCCAGAACTTGTATTGTAAATGTAAAAACCTCAAAACACTCCTAATTAGAATGCTTTTAGCTGGTCCAAATACCAGTAGCATTCAGATTAGAGAGATTTTACTGTAATTCACGACTTTTCACTCCATCTATATGCAGCAGACTAACTGCTGCAACAGGTATATATTCTACACCTGGTCTCTAAGCTATGATATCATAGTTGATACTATTATGCTCATAACCTTCAATTATCAGGGCAAATTCAACTCTGTACCTGAATAGCGTGAATTTGAGACCAATTTTGAGATCAATTTTTCAAATTTTGCACTTGTTTAAAACCTTGAACTTCCTTCAAACTCATCTTAGGTATCTTTTACATTTTAATTAAATACTCTTAAAACTATATATTTCATCCCTGAGGTATAGATGTAAAAACCATAAGGGTCATCTTTGGCTATACTTGAAATTCATAAATTTGAAACCTAACATTTACAATTCTTCAAATTTTGGACTTGTTTAAAACCTTAAACTTCCTTAAAATTCATTTTGGATATGTTAAATCTTAGTCCCACACTCTAAAACTGTATATTTAATCATAGAGGTATGGATGTAAAAATCATAAGGGTCAGCCGTGGCTATACCTAAAATTCGTAAATTTGAAACCTTATATTCACAATTTTTCATATTTTGGACTTGTTTAAAACCTTACACTTTCTTAAAACCCATCTAAATTGTGTTTTACATATTAGTTCCACATGGCAAAACCATAAATATCATCATAGAGGGATGGATCTAGAAACTATAGGGGTCAGCCATGGCTATACCTGGAATATGTAAATTTGAAACCTTATATTTACAATTTTTCAAATTTTGGACTTGTTTAAAACCTTTAACTTCCTTAAAACCCATCTAGATTATGTTTTACATCTTATTTCCACACTATAAAACCATAAATATCACTATAGAGGGATGGATCTAGAAACTATAGGGGTCAGCTATAGTCATACACAAAATCCAACTGTCAAAAATGTCAAATGTTTCGAAAAATCAACAATTTTTTTCTCAGCTCCTACCTTTTTAATGGCTTTGCATCTTTCAGTTTTACTAACCCTGCTATTGGGTACTTCCCATGAATTTTTTCAACCTCTTACGATGTCTAATTGAAAAGTTAGGATCAAAATAGTAAGAAAATGAGTCACAAATTTGCCCCCTGGGGTACACACTTTGTACTAATATTCAATTTCTTTAGGAGCAATCAGCATCAATTATACTGCAAGTGATTCATATATATAATATCTATGTATGTCACTTACAAACATCAAAATATCTAAGGTTATTTACTGTGAACAATTTTTTTCCCCGGGTGGGGTGTTTTCAGGGGATGGGGGGCTAACTCCTCAAAAAAAAGAACTTCCTACCACTCTGTGAAGCTATCACCTAGGTGGAAGTTTCATCCAAGACTCTCCCCTAACTGAAAATGCTGCCAAACCAACTATACACCATTTATTGAGAATTTTCCTCCTCGCCCCTTGAGTAGTTGTATATACTGTACCTGTTCCAAAACACTAAACACCTAATGGTTAAAATTTAAATATATAATCAAAAGTCCATACCACAGCAATAGCATCAACTATTTGCCAACTTTCCCCATTGAATTCAGCTTTTGTTATACACCCTGTAAAGTTGGACGTGAATCCAGAAATAACACCAGTGTCTTGTGGGAGACCACCGATGTATACAGGGCCAAGAGTGGTGAAGGCAAATGTTGGAAAGACGAAGCTCATTCCATCAGAAACACTGTAAGATGTTTTAGGCATACTGATTGAGAATCTAGCCTGACAATTCTTTCCTTGACTGAAAGTAATAGAAAGTAGACCATTAGGATTTGATCCTAAAGTTTGTCCGGATGACATTTTTTACAAACATATCATTATACACCAGAAAATACGTTGGTGCTTTTAACAGTATTGACAGTAAGATTGAATTGTGGATAATGTTAAAATATTTTCCTTTTCTCAAGTGCTACTTATGGATGCTGCTTTCTGATTCTTATATCCATACATATAATAAGGCACCCTGATAATTGGTCCAAAGAAAGGTAGTTGCATTAAAAAAAAACTGATAGCTTAACAACATCAATATCATCTCTCTCTCTCCTTCTACAGTAAGCAACATCAATAATATATATGTGAAATAAAGATTTAATAAAAAAAAAACATAAAAAAGAGAATCTTACACCATACTATTACAATATTATGAGCAGAGAAAACTGCATACCTTATTGTCACATTGACTGTTTCCATGGTGTTCACAAGAAATGGACTGGTGAATTCAAACTTACTGATGACACAAGAGAACTTATACTGGAAATAAAGTATATTGTTGTAATAAATAATCAAGAGTACCTTTAATTTGCAAACATGTACAATTACTATATCGAAGCTGATAAAACAGCGAGAAAAGAAGTTTGGATAACATTCTGAGGCATAACGATGTTATGTTTTTAACTAAGGAAAAGTACACATGTTTCAAAATGTTAAACAGAAGTATGCAGTGTTCATATTTACCTTTAGAAAGCCTCCTGCCAGTGACAAGCTGATGTAATGTGTATCTTCTGGTGCTGTGTAGTCCTTAGCTGCATACAGTAGGAGGGAGTCACTCTACCAATGAAACAAAAAACACGTTTACATTAAATCATTGTATTTGGGACTCTGGACATTGGTATATCAATAAATTTTAGGATTTCCTCTTTTACAAGTATATTTTTCACTTGTGCTTTCTTATGTCAGTATATTTGTAATTGTTTTCCTAGGTCTAAATAAAATCAATTCATACTGACAAAGTAAAGGTGCAATGTATATGTCAAATAAATTTCTTAAAATCTAATGATAAGGTGGTACATATACAAACATGTTTTCATGACAAGTGCATACACTACACTTCTAATGAGTAATACCTCAGATGTTGCAAATGACATCAGAATAGAGTTAGTCCCTTCTAGAGCTGGGGAAGGAAATTTTGCATATGCCTTGCCATCGAAGGAGGTTTCAAAATTTGAAGAACCTGAAAAAGGATTTATACCCATGTAAAATTGGTTCTCAGTTAGTGATCGTAATGAACCTTCATAAAACAAAGTGCTAAAGAGAAAAATCAAAACAGTCCATTGAAGTAACACATCTATGAACTTATTCTCAAATCAATTCACTATTAAATCAACCTCAAAAAAACAAACCTAAAAATCAACCTCAATAAAGTTTTATCTCAGCACCATGAAGCAATTTTTAAGAAAACTAGCTACCTGTTGTCACCTCACTTGCTGATGTGGTTATCACATGTTCAGTTGTAACAGAATCAGTTGGAACTGTAATGTTGCTATCTTCAGTTGTCACATCAGTGGCTGAAGTGGTCTTCTCTTCTGTAGTAACAGGATCAGGTGTAACAGTGATGTTGTTAGCTTTCGTTGTCACCTCAGTGGTTGATGTGGTAGTTTGTTCCATTGTTACAGGATCAGGTGTGACAGTTGTGTTGACTGCTTCAGTTGTTTTCACCAGACTTGTGCTAGTTGGGGAAACTATAATATGAGCAATCAGAAACATATTACACTCTAAAATCTGCAATTTCCTCATGGACTGTAGGCCTAGCACTGTCTTACATACTGCCAACAGTCTTTATTTTTATAGAAACATACTCAGAAATATGTGGCACATCTTAGTTTCAATGTTCTCAATTATACTGTAGACACAATAAGATCACAAATTCATGTGCTAGGTCTATATGACTGAATTATATCAAAGTTCGTTTAAACTATGTGAATGAACAGTGTACATTTAATTTAAATTCAAGCCTGAACCATACAAAAATGAGTTGATCCCAAGTAAAGTGGACATGCAACATGCAAGACAACCTACCTAACTTAGTAGTGAGTAGTCCTAAAGTGCTCATCTCAGAAGTAGAATAGGCAGAAGTACTAATTACCTCAGATGGTGAAATAATATTTGGTGTGGAAGCAATTGTAGATGATGAATGCAATTTATTAGAGCCAACTGTTGAACCCTGTATTGTGATTGAAGATTTTAACGCTGGTAAGGAAAGACTGGATTCAACTAATGCTGATGACAGAGAAGACCTTATAGATTTAACGGAAGCCAATGGTGAGATGAAAGGAGTTAATTTGCTTGGTTGGCCAGATGAGAAGAAAGACTGGTGTACAGAATTGGGAATTATTGCACTTGATGACAATAAGGTTGAAACTATATAATTTGTTTGGGCAGCTGATGAATAAGATGAATACAATGATGTTGAAATTATATCACTTGTTTGGGAAGCTGATGAGTACGATGAATACAATGATGGTGAAATTATATCACTTGTTTGGGCAGCTGATGAGTAAGATGAATACAATGATGTTGACATTATATCACTTGTTTGGGCAGCTGATGAGTAAGATGAATACAATGATGTTGAAATTATATCACTTGTTTGGGCATCTGATGAGTAAGATGAATACAATGATGGTGAAATTATATAACTTGTTTGGGCAGCTGATGAGTAAGATGAATACAATGATGTTGAAATTATATCACTTGTTTGGGCAGCTGATGAGTAAGATGAATACAATGATGTTGAAATTATATCACTTGTTTGGGAAGCTGATGAGTACGATGAATACAATAATGGTGAAATTATATCACTTGTTTGGGCAGCTGATGAGTAAGATGAATACAATGATGTTGAAATTATATCACTTGTTTGGGAAGCTGATGAGTACGATGAATACAATGATGGTGAAATTATATCACTTGTTTGGGCAGCTGATGAGTAAGATGAATACAATGATGTTGAAATTATATCACTTGTTTGGGAAGCTGATGAGTACGATGAATACAATGATGGTGAAATTATATCACTTGTTTGGGCAGCTGATGAGTAAGATGAATACAATGATGTTGAAATTATATCACTTGTTTGGGAAGCTGATGAGTAAGATGAATACAATAATTGTGAACTTATATGACTTGTTTGGGCATCTGATGAGTACGATGAATACAATGATGTTGAAATTATATCACTTGTTAGGGCATCTGATGAGTAAGATGAATACAATGATGGTGACCTTATATGACTTGTTTGAGCATCTGATGAGTACGATGAATGCAATGATGTTGAAATTATATCACTTGTTTGGGCATCTGATGAGTACGATGAATGCAATGATGGTGAAATTATATCACTTGTTTGAGCAATTGATGAGTGCGATGAATACAATGATGTTGAAATAATATCATTTGTTTGGGCAGCTGATGAATAAGATGAATGCAATGATACTGAAACTATATCACTTGCTTGGGAAGCTGATGAGTACAATGAATACAACAATGATGGTGAAATTATATCACCTGTTTGGACAGCTGATGAATAAGATGAATGCAATGATGGTGAAATTATATCACTAGTTTGAGCAACTGATGAGTAAGATGAATGCAATGATGGTGAAATTATATCACTTGTTTGGGCAGCTGATGAATAAGATGAATGCAATGATGTTGAAATTATATCATTTGTTTGGGCAGCTGCTGAATAAGATGAACGCAATGATGTTGAAATTATATCACTTGTTTGGGTAACTGTATCGTTTGTTTGGACAGCTGATGAGTAAGATGAATGGAATGATGGTGATAATATATCACTTGTTTGGGCATCTGATGAGTAAGATGAATACAATGATGGTGAAATTATATCACTTGTTTGGGCAGCTGATGAATGCAATGATGCTGAAATTATATCAGTTGTTTGGACAGCTGATGAGTAAGGTGAATGGAATAATGTTGTGATTATTTCACCTGTTTGCAATGAATTACTCAAAGATGATTGAATTACTTCACTTGTTTGGATAGATAATTGAACTGAAGGCAGTAACATTGTTGGGACTATGACATTTGTTTGATCAGATGGTGAAATTAAATTTGATACAATTGCAGATTTTGAAAAGTGATCAACAGAGAGCAAAGATGTTCCACCAGAAAACTCAGAGGAAGAAAATAAAACATAAGAAGAGTCAGGTGATTGAAGTGAAGCAACAGAAAATGAAGCACTGTGCTGCAAATTAGATTGGGATGACATTGAAAGCAAATGAGAAGGTGAGGATAACATTGACGGCAATGTAGCTCCTGGTGATGAAAACATAGAAGTTGCAAGCATTGTTCCACCATAATTTGCTGTACCTTTGAGAGATGACAATCCTGCTACAGATGACTGTTTCCTTGTCTCAGATAGTACAAATATACTTGTACTTTCCAATGTGAAACTTGAGCTGAAAATACTAAAGACCCGAGAACCCAAAGTCCCATCTAGAGATTGACTGGATGTTGTAACCAGGGTATCGGATAATAGGGGAGTGGGAAAAAGATTTGAGCTATAACCCAGTGGGGTATGCAAGATCACTGTACTAATATCAGAAATATCGCTAGTCTTTAGCACAGTGGGAATCATAACAGTACTTGATTCCAATGTTATCTCTGTATGTTCAGAGGGAGTTGCCAAAAAGGTTTCCACTGACTCTGTTGGCTGTATAGCTGAACTTTTTATGTATTGAGATTCAGAATATACCACTGAACTACTATCAGGCTGCATTATCGTAACACTTCCAGTAGATGGTGTTGGTGATAGAAATTCAGATAAATGTTCTGTTGCAGACATGTTCAAAGTTGAGGATGTTTGAGATAACAGTGAATTACTTCCAATCGAATCAGTAAATATCAGAGTTACAGTAGTTGCCAATAATTTTGTTGGATTTAAAGATAAAATACTTCTGGATTTTGACTGCATTGGTGATGTGGGTCCAAGTGAAGATATTTGGATAACGGTTGGACTACTTCCAGATAAATCTTCTGTGTGAACCATTGAATATGTTCCAGTTGAGGTTGATTGGTGAAATGTTGAAAATTGGTCAGCTTTTGACTGCATAGTTGAAGTTGCTGAAAGTGTTGGTAATACAGGTGAAATACTTCCAGCCATATATGTTGACTCCACTGATGACATAGTTCCAACTGATGATGATTGGTGAATATTTGAAATGTGTTCTGTCATATATGCTGATTGCATTGTTGAATTCTCAGGAGTTAAAGTTTCTGATGAGAGCGCTGATTGCATAGCTAAAGTAGTTCCAGATGGAGATATTGGCATTGATATATCCCTTTCTGTTAAGTGCATCATTGAAGTAAACTTGATCGAAGTTTTTGGGTGTAGAGTTGAAATACTTCCAGTCAAATCCATTGACTGTCCTCTTGAAGCAATTTTAGTTGAGGGGATTTTAATTGCCGGAGTTGAAATACTAGTACTTCTTGGTGAGTCTGTTGACTGCATCGGTATAGTAGTTACTGTCACGGATGATTTATCACTGAACATACTATACAATCCACTGCTGAGTATATTACTTTGTGAGGAATATGTAGACTCTGTTTGTGTACTAGCTTGAATATCACTTACACTACTTGTGTGCACATCAGTTAAATATGAATCACTTAATTGCCCCTTGAATGCTGAACTAAAACTGATTGCCTCAGAACCAGCTGTTGGCGAATATATAAAAGTATCTGTATAAAAATGTGTCTGTAGAACTTCACTCGGTGTCTGAATGGAAGGCTGCAAACTTGGAATGTTCTGTGCACTATCAAAACCAATAGTACTGCTTGATAATAAATACGAGGATATAAAATCAGTAGAAGAATACAAAATGGACGGAATGTATGATAAAATACTGGTTGGTTTAAAACCATCTGTGACTGTAAATGGTCCAGATGAGTCTAAATTGATGGGCGTAGTTAAAGTGGAATGTATTGTTTCTGGCACATTAGTGTCAATAACCTTAGAAGAGGTTGTAATATCAGTTGGTATGACTGGTGATGGTGTTGGTATATCTGCTGTACCAAAATCAGTATAGCTTATTGTTCTGGATGCATCTAGTGCATCAATGGTGTTTGTTACTGAAAAGTGGTGTGTACTTCTTAACACACTATTTAACAAAACAGTTGACCTTTGTATATTACTGCTCTCTATCAAAACACTGGAGCTCTCTACAGATGACCTTTGTGGGTGTAATGTTTCAATACCAGATGCCTCCATAACTGTAGTGGCTTTTTTAGAATCATCTACAATGGTATGTGTTTTGTGGACCACTGTTTTTATAATGGATGTTTGGTATTCACTTCGAGTTGACTCCATGGAGGAAGTTAATGCTGTTGTTTCTTTGACAGAGTCCAAAGTCAAAGTTACACTTGATTTGCCTATTGACTCAATAGGTGAGCCTGATGCAGTAGTCTGAGCTGGTGTAGTTGGGGTTGGGGAAATTGTTTGGTCTATTGATTGAATAGAAGAGACTAAATCAGTTTTTTGAAATACTGATTCCACAGTGGAGGTTACAGCAGTAGTTTGGTCCATTGACTCCATAGTAGTAGGGGTCAAATAAGAAGCTTGTAATGTTGGTTCCATAACTGAGGTTGGAATTACAGTTTGGACTATTGATTCCATTGTGAAGGTTGAAGTTCTAGGTTGGTCAACTGACTCCATTATAGAGGTTGTAGTTTGTTCCACTGCTTCAGTAGTAGAGGTCAAATAAGTAGTTTGTACTGCTGGTTCCATAATGGAGGTTGGAATTACAGTTTTAACTATTGATTCCATTGTGGGGGTTGCAGTTCTAGGTTGGACTGTTGACTCCATTATGGAGGTAGAAGTCGAAACTTGGTCAACTGTCTCAGTAATAGAGGCCAAATAAGCAGTACTTTGAACTCCTGACTCTAATATGGGAGTTTGATTCATTGACTCCGTAGTTGAGGCAACATAAGAACTCTGAACTGTTAACTCAGAGGTCAAAGTTGAAACCATAGTTTGAATCACAGACTCCATATGTGAAGTTTGTACAATAGTTTGGCCCAGTGATTCCATACTGGAGGGTGAATCTATGAGGGTAGAAACTATTCCCAACACCAAAGTTGATCCTACCACCTGGGTTGTTTGCAACTCTAAATATAAAAGAAACATATCATCAATTCCAAAAATCTGTAGAAAGGTAATAATATAAAATAAATATATGCCCAAAATCTAATACTAAAAAATTAAAATTTCGAATCTAATTCATAAAATCAAAATGCACTTGTAATAATATAAGAACAAGAATGATGAAAGGTAAGTGCCAATACCTGATGATGAAGGTGTGTAAAGCTGAGTTTCACAATCAGTCCCTGTATATTGAGGAAGACAGTGGCAGGTAAAGTCATTCAGACCATCCACACATTGCTGCCTTTCAGTACATTTTGGCTTAGGTAGGCAATCATTATAGTTGATCTCACACCTTAAACCACCTAGTCCAACCTTACACAGACACCTAAATAATACATGAATCCATTTCTAATTTCCTTAATCAGTAATTCATATTTTTGATTTTAAGAATAACTACAGTACAAACTAAAACAACTAAATAGATGTGCCTTAAAAACGGTACTGTTTATTTGCAACATCACAAAAGTTCCACCATTTGGTCTGTACATATGGGGAGAGGTTAGGCTTCTTATAAATATAATACCCATATTTATTGTTCATACAGTTGTACAAAAACTTCAAAAAGAGACGATATGTGCATTTTCACCGAAAACTTCTTAGATTACATACTAAATGAGTCAAGGGCAATCATTTCACTTACTTGAATCCTTGTCCTGCTGAGAGCTGTGTGCAGATTCCTCCACTAAGACATGGGGTTGAGGCACACTCATCTATATCTGCCTCACATAGCTCCCCTGTGTAACCTGCAATATACATTTGTTATTTAGGAATGACATATTGATGTTTATATTCGTACTTCTTTTTGGGTCTGTTCCATGGCTCGGGATTATTTTGTTTCATCATTTACTATGTCTTCAAAACATTCCATTCTCTGGTTTCTTAATATTATTCTCTTGATATAAAATGTTTATTCTGCTTTTAGTCTTGAAAATTGTTACAACATGTTATTAACAAGGCAAATGTGTTATACCAGGTAAACATTGGCAAGAGAAACTATTGATTCCATCTTGACATGTTGCATTGTTTGCACAAGGTGATTCTAGGCACTCATCAACATCTGTCTGGCATCTCATACCAGCGAAACCTTCAGGACAACTAAAAGAGAAAATCAATTTATGTTAATAGTTGCAAGTCCTGCATGTATGCAATAATGTATCAGAAATACTATATATAAAATTTGAAGATTACATTACCAACATCCTGAATAGGCCAACTTTCTAATTAGTAGTCTAATAGTAGTCATATTAAGTGTCTCCGAGCCATTCAAGGTTACTTTATATGTTTATATGAATAGGTAAGCACAGGTGCCAAGAGGGGTAAAAATGTACAGTATGACAGAACAAGAAAAAAGAAAAAGCTAAAAGCATTAATCCAGTCATAGGGACCAGATCCCTAATATATGTTACATGGATTAAATGTGGTTCATACAGATTGTTGTAAATCAAATTGTTGCATCCTCTGTGCTTTCAAATTATAAAATGTACTGTACTTATGTCATTCTAGAAATAATAGAAGGAATGTTTGGATTGTTTGCTTACCTGCAGGTGAATGTTGATCCTGGGCCATCAATACATTGACCTCCATTGAGGCATTGGGAAAAGTTGCCAACACTGCAGACATTGATGTCAATCTCACATAATACACCTGGAAATGAAAATGCAACAATTAATTTGCATGCATACATGTAATATAGATAAAGGTTTGCATATTAATAACCCTATACAGGATTAGGAATTGTAATCAGAATATCAAATGTGCAATTTATATGTTTTTGTGAGACTTAAAGGGTGACGCATATCGTTTAGCAAATCGAACGCTCGTTTCTAGTGTTGCTCACCGTTTAGTATAAAAGGCCCGATCCCGGAATAATACTCAAGGGTTTACAGGTTCGAGGACGTTGTGTCAACACCTCTAACTGTTATATAGCATAAGTATATTATAGATCGTCACACATTTATAAAAGGGTGATTTTTATTTTGACAAATCAATTCCACATTTATGGGTGAAGTTTCAGGATCTTCTATTTGTGTATAATAGGGAAAAATTGGCATCTAAATTTCCCCATAACGTAATAGCACACAGCTTGGCATATGAAATATCCTACAAATGAAACAAAGCAAGACAAACCGGTTTCTAATACAAGGATTTATATTGGCTGTTGTACATGTATTCTTTGAACGCAATCACTCTTTGGATAACGTTTTCAAAATCATTATAAACGGATTACTTTATCTCAAAGACAATTTCAATAAACTGGATTTTACAGAACTCCCCTTATTTCTTAAAAATGGACTGATCCAGTTGATTCGCCTGGAGCCGCCATATTGTTTTTATACGGGATGCTAATCGGAACCCTTTAAATAAATGTAATAGAAAGTAAAAATGAAAATATACCTGTGTACCCTACGCCACAGTGGCATCTGAACCCATTGACATCATCCGCACATGTTGAGTTATATTGGCACGGGTCGCTGAGACATTCATCTATGTTCAATGAACAGTTCACTCCCTCCCAACCTGGATCACATTCACACATATAGCCTCCTATTTCATCCATGCACCTGGAAATGGGATCATTCACATTTGAATATGGACATAGATACATGTGTGAGGTCACAAACATAATGTCCTGTGTGATGTTTGTATTGAGTGATCAAAAACTCTTAATAAATATCAAATTGACCAATTTTGTATCTGTTAAACTTCAACAACAATTTCATCACCTCATTGGAATAATATAAGATATTGTACCAGTTTATTGTGAGCTTATTCTTGTCCTACGGTGGGGTGCTAGATTTGGCAAATAAATTACAGCCTATTGCATTATGATATATCAAGCCAAATCTAGCATAATTGAAATCGACATCAAGACCCTAATTTACACCATTCCCTCTTTCACATCTGTGATAAAAAGGAAATGGGAATACTTAACAGTATGCAAGTCAAGCTTTAATTGAACATTAATTGTCTTGCATATTAGTTACATCAATTCAGAAGAAGAGAATGGGTGCATAATAGCCATTGATTTTGCACTTTTATATAATTTAATAGTTTATACTCACTGGCCATTCTGACATGGTTCATCTACACAGTCATCTATGTTCTCTTCACACTGCACCCCCATGTATCCCACAATGCATTGGCAGGTATAACCAGCTACCTGGTCTACACATGTTGAGTTGAAGAGACATGGTCCAGACAGGCATTCATCTATATTTTCCCCACAGAGCTCACCTATTTAGATAAAATACTTAGAGGTTATGTCACTATCGTGGCATATATGCCCGAGGTCTCAGTGATATATGGCCCGACCTTGGGAGGGACATTGATCTCTGAGAACCGAGGGCATATGTGCCACGATAGTGACATAAACGATTTATAACATACCTATGATGATGTAGACTGGTCAGAGAGTACCGTTTTCTTATAGAATTGACAAACAAATGGATTGAAAATGATTGAAATGAGTTTAGAAAAATTGCTCGCACAGTTTTATCTTCGATTGATTGGCTATGACGTCAGCGCCTTGACCAATCAGAAAGTTAGCGGGCGCGGGCTTTTCAAAACTTATATTGGCCCGCTGTCTTGTGTACACTTTGCACTAAACATCATCATAGGTATGTTATAATATAAGTTATTCAATGATTCAAGTGAAATACAGAAAATATTCTTCCCGAGAAGGTTGTATTTCACAATGCGCTAGCAGAGTGAAGTACAGACGTTCAAGGGAAGAATATTTTCTGCATTTCACGAGAAATCATTGAATAATGTTATTATTCCATGATTATCCATATAAAACTTGCCTAAATCAAGTCCCTTGGCTTGGGGCCGGAGAAACAGATCAACCTTCTCATCTCAGAGATATTTTACATCGATATTCCTTCAAAATCTTTATGACCTTGTTGTTTGCTTTTTATTGTATTACACGAGACATTTGATTTTCTTTCTTTTTTCTTCAATTTCATCAGCTGGAAGTGCAGTGTAGGGAAACGTTTTTTTCGACTTTTGTCTGCCATATTGGATTTTAAATTTTTTTACTAGTTCATGAAAACAATGTGCATGCTTCATATTGATCTTTTTATATTCACAGATGTGTGTTTTTTATCCTAAAATTATAAATTGTGATGATCACCGTATCATTTCCTGATATTCAAATCAGATATTTCTAGCAAAATGCAAATATTAGCATGCGTTGGTGTAAACTGATCACAATTGATTTTTTTCAGTAATAGTCATATCCTGGATGGAAATCTGGGGTGTTGGGATACTAGACCGTATCCCAATGCTGACGTCTTTTTCACTCTGTATCCAACGCTTAGTGGAATGTGCGTGTAAATACAGGATATATTTAAGTCACGTGCACCAATCAGATTGCAGGGAATTTCACCATCATGGAATAAAATGTGATATTAGGAAAGGAGCAAACTTTAATCATATATGTTTGTGCTCATTCCAATCAAATATTAATACCCTCCTATGGTTATTCTGATGTCATTACATTTACCTGACCTTATCAAAGCCATTTACTTGAACCTTTTAATTTATCAAATATTGAAAGTTAATTTAACATATGACTGTCTTCTTAAAGAAAATCTAAGATATCTGGTTTTGGGCTATATGGGGTTTGTTTTTCTTGACTGGTATGCACTTAGAGTTTGCTTTTTCTTGCTAAGTTCCATTACAACTTTTGGTCCTTTCCCTTTGGCACTAGTGCTTATATATTTACCTGTATATCCAGTTGGGCAGGTACATATAAAGCTCCCAGGAGTATTACTACAGACAGCATTGTTGAGACATGGCTGGTCTACTTGACATTCATCTATGTCCCTCTCACAGTTCACACCATCATACCCTTGTGGGCACTGGCACAAGTACCTTAACACAATTGATTGAATGATGAAATCAGAGAATATTAGTTTCCATAAACCTATGAATAATAATGCAATATACAACATTTGTCCAATATGAAGACAGACTTTGGAAAAAAGCTCTGATTGGGAAAAGTGCATTTTTACCCTGATTATACATGTTCTTAGATATATGTTGTCTTTGGGAACCTTCAACAATACACGAGACAACAAATTATTACATCTCTTATAAAAATAATTCTCCATACCTATTTACTAAATCCACACAAGTGCTGTTATTGATGCACATGTTTGACTGGCATTCATCAATATCTGTTTGGCAAAGTCTGCCTGTGAAGCCTTCCCTGCAGTGGCAATCAAATGATGCAACAAGGTCAAGACACGATGCATTATTGTGGCATGGGTTGTTGGAACATTCGTCGATGTCAACCTCACAATTTGGACCTTGGTATCCTGCAAATACACAACATTGGTGATGTTGGTTTTTAGTTCAATAGTCTGAAGTTACATTAGTCTAATCGGTACTTGTGTATCATCATAAACTTTTCAATGTATTTACTATTGGAACCAAACAGATTAGTAAAAATGTTATCTGAAATATTGAGGTACAAAAGATCTGCATCTGATACTGCGTTTGGGCTTTTTAAAACATTCATGAATGTATTATAGTGATATCTCTATTTATAGATGTCTCAAAGGTTTCTATTTAACAGGCAAGACATCATGCCATCAAGTGCACTCACAAACACATAAACAAAAATAATTGTTTTCCCCTTTAACTATCTACAAGGCATATTCAATTTAATATCAAGCAAAACCTAATACAGCTAACTACTCTTAATGATCACAACATTATTTCAAGGTTCAAACAACCTGAGTAATTCTAACATATTTTATGAATAAGGAGTCACAAGGCATAATACAGACGGCCTTAAGAAAAGGTAAATGCTACATACAGAATTGACTTTAAGGATATTCATCTACATGATTGAGCATGAACTGAATATGAATATCAAACATGCATTTATTAACAAAGGACCCATTATATGACAATTATCAGCAATCTGGGGAACATTAGATGGTATAAAAAATAGTTGATGCTTGTGTTTATGTCAGATATTTGCTGAATGGAGAAAACATGCAGATTTATCATAACCATACATCAGTGAATCATACAGCACATAATATAATACATCGTAAACTACAGTTATTGTACCAATTGATGTTCAAAAGAAGAATATTAAAATATACATCATTTTTGTTTCAGGTCCACAGACAAGATGGCATTCTTTGCATATGTTCTTGACAGCCTAGCAAGCAACCCTACAGCAAGCTTGGTGATATTGCTGATCTTGTTGATGACATGGTGGTACATGAAACCATCACCATACAAATTTCCACCTGGCAGACCTTGTTTACCGATCTTTGGAAACTTCTCACTGTTTGACCTTAATGCAGATTTACCAGAAATGTTTTTGCAAATCTCCAGGGAATATAACAGTTCTGCGGTTGTATCTTGGGTATTCTCATTCTGCACTGTTATTGTTAATAAGTACGAAGATGCAAGGGAACTTTTCATGTCAGATATATTCATGAACAAAATTGAAAGTTCAGCCAGTAAACATGTCTTCAGAGGCATCGTGGGCGCCCAAGGTGATCGCCATAAAGAACAAAGGAGATTCACTCTATCCACCCTTCGTGACTTTGGATTAGGAAAGAACAAAGTAGTTGAGAAAATACACGAAGAACTTGAAAAACTTGTTGAGGAACTTGAAAACACAAATGATTTGTCGATTGAGATGAATTGTAGCTCGATTTTTAATACTGCAGTAGCAAATATAATTTGCTCCATGGTATTTGGTCACAGGTTTGAATACAATGATCCTACCTTCAAAAGGATGTCAAGTCTTAATAATGAGAACATAACAACTAATATAAGGAGAGTGTATCTCAAAATGGCTGTTCCATTTGCTGATTACATACCTGGAGACCTGTTCCGTGAAAAGCGTCTTCAAAAATGTGTAGACGAAGTAAAGCAGAATGTTCTTATACCAGAGTTTAGAAGACATTTTGAAAACTATAACCCTGATCATATTGGGGATTATATGGATGCGTTTATCAAGGAAATGAAAGACCGGGAGGGTTCAGATAAGGAGCACTGGTTTACAGGTAAGCGAATTAATCAGGATCCTGGGCAGGTATAAATTGAACTACTACATGTAATGAATGCACATGTACACGTACATAATGTAATAAGACCATAACGACCCCTCCCCTACCCCCCTGATTTCTCCTAAAAAATGTTGACCTATAAATTTTGCTTTCTTGTAAGGATTTTCTTTAAGTAGAAGGTAACATTTGGTGGCCCACAAACATTTTTGGACCCAAAATCTGCTCCTCCCTACATGAACTGGGCAATTAAGATAACAAATGCATTACTGGGCATTGTTTTTTTTTAATTTGGGCATTTTTCGAGTCATTAACACCCTGAATTAGAGACTTGTCTTGCATTAACTGGGGATGAAACCCAAAGCTACATCACAATTAGGTCTACCACTGAGGATGTATGGGATCTATGAGTTGGCTAAATAGTTACTAAACTTTACTAAATTTATTTTTGTACTTGCAGAAGAACAACTGATGTGGAACATAGAGGACTTGTTTATTGCAGGAACAGAAACAACAACAACATTTCTTGGGTGAGAATTAGCAAATGTTACTTTTATTTTGATCAATGATGATTTTTTTAAATAAAGTTGATTGACTCTGTGAATGACAAATATGCCAGGGGCATTTAACCTACACATTTTCTTAACAGTGTTTAAGCGGGTTAATTGATTCTAAAATATTTCTGTAATATTGGAGGCACTGTTTTGATAACTGGATCACTATCAGTATTCATTGATTTTGTGAAGAAACTGTTACCCAACATATACTAATGTACATACAGTAAAACACCTCGCTTATCTGAACACCTCGGTTCCATTTTTTAACCTGCCACAGATTAGTATTATGGAAAACCCTGAATATCTGAACACCTTTCAATCCAAACACTTTTGTTTGATCTCAATGGTGTTTGGTAGGGATGTCAAGGTTTCCCGATAATTGAGAAATCGAATGGGAAACCTGTACGTATAAATCGCCCTATACAAATGCATGTAGTTTTCTCACATAAAACAATAGTTCGGTCTAAGTGTTTACTTAGTCCGTTACTTAGTCTACACATCATCGTGTACTATGCTATTGATAGTTATACAGCTGGTTTTCTATGTTACATATTTTAAACATTCGCGTTTCGTAAGATATTGAAAGCTAAAACATGTAATACATACATCATTTTCTTCAGAAAGCATTGTACTATCTAAATCAAAATTGCCAGCATAGTTTACAAAGGACATAAGTATAATGATTCCCGTTGCCACCAACGTGAAATTGCAAATCTGCCATTCTAAACACAGCTCTGAAGCTGATCACGTATCTGAAGTAGACTCAAAGTAGCGCTTGTTTTTTTATGTGCGCTATATACATTACTGTATAAATTCATTGGCTTTACGTTCACGGATGTGTTGTGAAAAATATCGCTAGCTTAAACTCTCAATTGTCCCGTCCCTCAGGACTTTGGTCTTGGGATGGGACGGGACAACCCTCGTGTACCGCACGTTTCCGTCCATGTTCAGGATATACTATTTCTCCTGTACATGACCTTAGAAATTCCAAAATGCACAATAAATATGATCAAAACTAGAATTATCTTTCATTTTTACAACTCATCTGCCGTATTACATTCATGCTTAAATTCCATCTAGGGGAAAATGTATAAGTTGTCGAACTGTTTAAAACCTATTATCTATTTCATTGGTTATGTCCCATCCGGTCCCGAATATCCCGTCCCGAAATGTATAATTCCCGTCCCGCCCCGAAATTTTTTTGTCCTGTGACATCCCTAGTGTTTGAATCAGATAGATTTTACCGTAATGTATTCAATTCAAGATGGAGTTTCTTGATGATGCTTCACTACCCTGATGTCCAGAAGAGAGTGCAACAAGAGATTCATGACATAGTTGGTACTGATCGCCTTCCATCAATGACCGATAAAGTGAATCTACCATATACAGAGGCAACGCTTTTGGAAATCCAGAGAAGATGCCCTGTTGTTCCTTTACTTGGCCATTGTTCAATAACACCAGACAAACCCTCAACGTTTCAGGTAAATGTATGATCTCCAGGGTTTACATTGGAAGCATAAGCAAAAGGTGATTTTCCCCAATAGTCTTTTTAGACATTATTTTAAAGAACTCAATATGTTAAATGTTGCCCATTGTTTTGTTTGTTCTACTTGTTGTCAGAAATTCGTACAACAGCCCTGTGTGATCTTAAACAGGCTGTTGTCCCTATGTGTACTAAATAATTGTAATCTAAATGAATTAATATTGATAAATATACATTTGAGCCAAATCTTTTTTCCTGAATCACGCCTAACCATCGACAAGGTACAGTCACGTGACAGGTGACAAAATATGCCGTAGTACACTTTTGATGTACCATGTCCCTATTAACTGATTTTGAGCGAAGACCATGATGTAGGTTCGATGCAGGTTTTCAAAAATAAATTTTAGGAGAACACAAAGGATTTTATGTTTGATTTCGCGTGCATTCGATTTCAAAGACATTTATTTTTCTAATAACGTTAAAAGATCTTCGAGCAGTGCTCGATTTTTTTCGTTGTTAGTCTACCCATACGATTCTTCGGTTGGAAAAATTTTGTTTTTTACACATTTCCTTTGATAATTTTCTCCCCTGACGTCTCAGAGTGTCGCATATTTTTATGAGAATGTGTTTCTCTAAACTACACAGTTTAGGACAGGTGAACATTTAATAAACATTCATGCATTTGATATAATTTAAAAAATCAGAAATGTACGTTGTCAACTCACAGTGTATGTTGTCCCTGTAATTGAAATACATGAGTTAAAATATTAAACATTGCAATGATTTAATTTCAAAATGCATTAAGGGTTTTATGCGTTACAAGTGATGTTCAACGAACATGCTCCTGTATCCCTAGTACAGATAAACAGGTAAAAGTGATTTTTTCGTTGAATGCTATTTTATTTTATGAAAGTATTAATATGGTGATTAATATGTGACCACGGCGTGTTTTCTTCCGACCTCTTTAACCACTCGACGTCGGTACGTTACGTTATGTTTAGTTGCACTTTTATGAATTTTAATAATCTTAAGGAGTTCATGGAGAGATCTTTACTAGCTAATCCAAGATGACTTTATGCTACAGGGTGTCCCGAAATTATGGACCCCATAGGCAGACATATACCAATGTCTCCATGTATGTGTCGTATATCATTTTAAAGCTCATCCAAAGTTACATTAATTTGCCGAGTATCATGGTTCAACTCACAAATGGAAAAAGTTACAGGAATTTCAAAAGTTAGTGTTTGGACAAAATTAAAGTCAGTTTTACACCAAAACAATAGTCGGTGTGTCTCCTTAGCCGCCATGTTAACAGCAGCAATACTTTCCATATATGACCTTAAACAAGCTTCAAATAGGGATATGGCGTTTTATAATCCTCATAAAATCTTTTTAAGGCATAAGAAGAGTTTCCTTGGAGTATCTACCCCAAACGTCATCTTTTTAGAACTGAATATCCATCCCATCTTCGAGAATAGCATCCATATTTTCTGTCACATTAAGGTCAGGGCTGTTTCCAGGATACTGAAATGAACTTTTTGGCAAAACGCTAATTTTTGAAATGCCTGTTACTTTTTACCATTTGAACCATTATATTTGGCAAATCAATGTAACTTTGGATAAGCTTAAATATGATATATGCCACATACTATGGAGAAATTGGTATATGTCTGCCTAGGGGGGAAAGTGCAGAAGTTCAAAAGCCAGGGTTATGGAATACTAAAAAATTATTAGTAACATTGAAATTTAATCATATCAATGACAATTTTATTGATTAACGGACAAAATATTAGAGTAAATTTTTCGATATGCCAGCCCTATTATTATAAATTATTACTTTATTATCAAATATGTTCCTTCTATTACACGTACATTATAGCATTTCATTCATGTAAAATTAACTGTGAATTGAGATCTGTAAGGCCAATGTGACAACATACATTCGAGTTGACAACATACATTATCTGTTTTTCGTAGTAGCATCCAAAGTAAAAAGCGGTTTTGCATTAACTCTGGATGTATATTTGTATACTTATCTTAAGTTGTGTTAGTCGTAGTTTGGCTGTTATTTGCATAGCAAAACAAAAATTAGAGAGAATTTTGCGAAATTCAGTCAAGATTTAGAGATCCCTGACGTACTGGGTAGATCTATAACAAGATATTGAAGTTGCTGAGGATCATTTGAAGTAGATATGCATATTTGCAACTTAATTACAAATCGAATGCAACAACTGCCTGATGATGAACTGACACAATATTGATCAAATCAATGCTAGTTCTTACCTCGCTTCCTCATTCTAGAAAATGGCGATATAAAATGGCGGAAATGACATAGTACATCAAAAGTGTACTACGGCATATTTTGTCATTGTCACGTGACTGTACCTTGTCGATGGTTAGGCGTGTGAATATAAACTTCTAAAAACAATAGACATAAAGTTATGAAACTTGCATTAGTTTAATTAAAACTTCAAGGTCAAGTCCAACATTGTAAAATCACATATGTTCTTATTTCAGGAATACATTCTTCCACCAAATACAAACTGGGTTGTTAACTTCCATGCTGTTCACCATGACCCTGACTACTGGCAAGACCCCTACACATTCAATCCAGAAAGATTCATAGGAGAGGATGGCAAGTTCAAGAAGGATGACCATGTCATGACATTCTCTGTTGGTAAGACACACACTTTATGCTAAATCACACAAATATAATGGATCTACGAGTATTTACTACATTTGGAACATTACAGTTTGATTATTATGATGCAAATGATGTAATATGTTTTTGATCTGCAAAATTGACACAGCAGAGATTACAAAAAGTGTTAATTATTTGAAAAAATAAATGTACATATATACAGTAAACAGAAATAAATGACAACAAATAAATAATAAAAAGATCAATGTAAACGAAAATATCAATGTCAAAACAAACTGAACGATAGTTAACAAGTTTGCATTTCCATTGCAGGTAAAAGGTCATGCCTGGGTGAGTCTTTGGCCAAGGCAGAAATGTTCCTGTTCTTCTCAACTGTTCTCCAGAGGTTTTCCCTCCAAACGGAACACAACCAACCTCCACCCAAGATAGTAAAGATGCCTGGCTTGACAAGCAGTCCAAAGCCATATAAATTCTGCTTTGTGAAATTATAGACATCTTGACATTAACAATGGCATTCTTGAGATCTGATCTTATTAGCTGTATTCAGTAAATCATTGTTAATGTCAAGATGTCTATAATGTCACAAAGCTAAGTATAGAAACTAAATATTTTCAACTACAAACTGTTCTTGATTCAATTGTACAAAAATGATACTAACACTATATTAGAGAGACTTTTTATTGTCAAAAGACTTCAAGGTCATTATGGAAAACAGTTTCTCCTCAAACTGCTATAACCTTAAAATTGCAATAAAAATTGCTTCTTTGATATGAATTGAACTACAAGTGTTTAAAAATTAACAGTGGAATTTCCAAATATTTTAACTAATTGTGCAATGCCCCCTGCCTCATTTGAGACATTTAATATGAACAGTTATTGTAAAGTGGAACAGCTCTATAAACTCCATAACAGGAACACTTTTAAAGTCCTTGCTGTTACCCATAAACATTATGTAGAAGCAACCTCTATGAGTGGAACACTGTTTTGATAAACGACAGGTTTTACTGTAATGTGCAGTATCACCTTCATAGTATTATCATGGGCTTTCAACTAGAAAATTGAAAGCCCATGGTATTATAAATAGCCTCCCATTACAGTAAAACCTATGGTTTATCAAAACAATGCTCCTTTTGGGGAGTTCATAGTCTTGTAGATAGCCTAGCCCCTCCCACATCTACTCAAGATGTAGATGAATGGAGACATACCAATTCATTCTTATCTATAAACACAAGGCAGCTCTTTTTATCATTTCAATGCAAAACAAACTCGAAAGTAAAAGGTCAATGTAAGTGAATGGTAATATGTTGATTCAATAAGTATTTATACAGTGCAGGTTTCTTTGACCCAGCTATATCACAATTTCAATATTAAACCTGAATGTTTACTCTTGGTCTCACTGTGTATTAACTTCTTCATAGATATTCCTGTCTGCAAGTAACATTGTTAAATTGTTTTGTCGGTTATTGGATTAACTACAAGAATGGTGGAGTAATAATTTTATTCTGGAGTAAGAAAGTACATTGATGTACTAATCCAATCAGTATGAGTTCATCATGATCTTCAGTCACTTACTGCAGTCTACTAGGCTCTAAAGTGCATTTGTCAATACTCAGCAGCTACGAAGCCAGTGCAATATTAATCAAGTATTGCAAAACTCACAAAACACACTGGAACTATGTCATTGCTTTATAACCTATTAAGAACAATTATAAATATTCCTGGATGGTTATGTGTGCTTCTCCTGGGAGCATTCACGTGGACAATATGGCGGTACATTCACCCATGGGGTTCATCTCATTTACCTCCAGGTCGAGCTCCATGGCCCCTCCTGGGAAATATATCCCTCAGGCTGAACAAAACTAATGAGAGGAGACTATGGGAGACATCTATAGATCTAAGGAGTTACACTATCAGCCAGTGGCTGGGACCCATGTATATGATTGTCCTACATAGGTATGAAGACATCAAAGAAGCATTTTCAAAGGATGAGTTTTCTGGACGAAATGAATCACTATTCAAAGGCCCTTTGAATAAATATGTTTTCAGTGGACTGTTCAATGTTGAAGGCCCTCGGTGGGAAGAACAAAGAAAATTCACAATAACAACCCTTAAAGAATTTGGACTTGGTAGGAATAGAATCGAACAAACAATACAGAAGGAATTCCTTGAATTGTCAAAAGAAATAGCCAAACATAATGGAGAGGCCTTTGATATGAAACACTTACTCAACACATGTGTGTCCAATATAATTTGCTCAATGGTATTTGGTCACCGGTTCAACTACACAGATAAAACATTCCAAAGAATGATGAATCTTATGGGAGAGAACACAGTCAACTTCAGAAGGGCTATCATTGGATCAATGATTCCTGGCTCAAGATTTATTCCAGGTGATCCATTCTGTATCAAGAAACTCAAAGCAAACATAGATGAAATAAGAAGGATGGTAATTGTGCCTGAATTGAAGGCACATATGGAGAACTATGACCCTAACAGTGTGAATGATTATATAGATGCTTTCATAAAACAAATGAGGAAGCCCCAAAGTGAGGAAACAGAGACCTGGTTTACAGGTAGGTGTTCGACATGTCAATTTTAATTATTCTTGTAAGTTTGAGACTCATGTCACATTTAACAGAGTTCATAATTTATAGCCTACCGTCAAATGATATATTTCAAAGGAAAAAATGTTAAACCTGCACATCGCCCCAAAACACAATATGTTGACATATATTGTTTTTACATTTTTAAGCTCTAATATAAAGTTTATGTAAATAAAAATTGTTTTTTCTGCGTTATATCAAAGAACAATCATTTCGTTAAAAAAATAAAAAGGCAAATGCGGGATTCGAACCCGGGCCTTCCGCGTGCTAAGCGAGAATTGTACCGCTAGACTACCGTGTTATTATAAATGGTGGAAGTAATTGAACGCTACTTATTTTGAATGCTATGATTCGGAAGTGACGTCACGTTCTTCATTTAGAAACCTTTTCAAAATCATATCGTCAGCGCCGATCGAAGCAATTCAATGAATAATCTTTGAAATGACACATTTATCGTAAGTATTTCTACACAAGATTTGCCCCATTTGTTCATCATTCTATAATCTTTCATTAAGCTCAAAATGATAAAGTTCACCCCCGAAACAACCCAAGATTGCGTTTTGGAGCGATGTGCAGGTTTAAGTAAAATGTTCATTATAATCATAGTGGACATAGGCGTAGCCAGGGGGGTGCGATGGGTTCCATAACCAATAAAAATAAAACCACGAGAAAGAAGAAGGGAGTGAGCTTTAAAATGCTTTTTATTTGAAGCTTCTAACTTCTTGAAGGAAGTTGCATAAATTTTTGTAAAATTCAAAATAAATCTTTTTTTGGCTTGTTTATGCCACAATCGCACATCCTCTGACTGAAAACCAAATTTTTTGGGCGATCTCACCCCCCCCCCCCCCCCCCCCCCCCGACTGAAAGCTGTCTACGCCCGTGGTGGAGCAACAATTATAGAACCTTTTAAAGAGAAATAATGTTATTGTTAAATATAATGTATTGTAGAAGACCAACTACAGTGGAACATAGAGGACCTGTTTGCAGCAGGTACTGAGACAACTGCTACAAGTTTAAGGTATACGTTTGAACATGAACAATATCACTTCAGTTCTATAAATAAAATTTGATTTTCAAAAAAGGATAAAATGTTTTCAATGACATGTTGTACCTAAATGTGAAATTTGTAGATGGTGGGTTGACATCTTATATGTCTGCCATTAAGAATATATAAATTACATTATTCCATTTAAGGTGGGTATTCCTGTGCATGTTACATTATCCAGATGTACAAACCAAGGTGAGAAGTGAGATCCATAGAGTAGTGGGCAAAGAAAGGCTGCCCTCTATGCATGACAAAGTAAACATGCCCTACACTGAGGCTACATTGGTGGAGATACAAAGGGCATGTACTGTCACTTCACTGGGCCCCCCACACTGCAGCTTTCATGAGCCCACTAAATTCCAGGTAAAAATTGTTCTCCTAGAGTATCTTAATCAAAGCATTCATTTCCTATGTGTTTCCTAGTGTTTCAATATCTGAAATTTTCTCCAAGATCAAATATATTTGCTAACTTCAGTAGTGTGAACAATATGATCTTGAATTATATGACTTAGTTTTCATATTTTTCAGGATTAAATATTGCCTCCAAGAATAACAATATTTGCTAGCTTCTGTACTATAAACAATGATATTGAATACTAGGTTTTCATATTTTTCTAGATTAAATATTGCCTCCACAAACATAATATATTTGCTAACTTCTTCGCTGTAAACAATGATCTTGACTACACAAGCTTTTTATATTTTTCAGGAGTTCATATTCCCTCCAAGAACAAACATATTTGCTAACCTCTACGCTGTAAACAATGATCTTGACTACACAAGCTTTTTATATTTTTCAGGAGTTCATATTCCCTCCAAGAACAAACATATTTGATAACCTCTACGCTGTAAACAATGATCTTGACTACACAAGCTTTTTATATTTTTCAGGAGTTCATATTCCCTCCAAGAACAAACATATTTGCTAACATCTACGCTGTAAACAATGATCTTGACTACACAAGCTTTTTATATTTTTCAGGAGTTCATATTCCCTCCAAGAACAAACATATTTGCTAACCTCTACGCTGTAAACAATGATCTTGACTACACAAGCTTTTTATATTTTTCAGGAGTTCATATTCCCTCCAAGAACAAACATATTTGCTAACCTCTACGCTGTAAACAATGATCTTGACTACACAAGCTTTTTATATTTTTTAGGAGTTCATATTCCCTCCAAGAACAAACATATTTGCTAACCTCTACGCTGTAAACAATGATCTTGACTATACTAGCTTTTCATATTTTTCAGGATTATATATTGCCTCCTAGAACAAACATATTTGCTAACTTCTACGCTGTAAATGATGATCTTGAGTACACAAGCTTTTCATATTTTTCAGGATTATATATTGCCTCCTAGAACAAACATATTTGCTAACTTTTACGCTGTAAACAATGACCCTGATTATTGGAAGGATCCTGAAAAATTCAGACCTGAGAGATTCATAGGAGAGGATGGAAAGTTCAAGAAAGATGACCACGTCATGACCTTCTCTGTTGGTAAGATGAACTAATATATGTCCAAAATTCTTATCCCAGGCGTTATGCCAAGATCCAAAAATAGTCCAATGAATCTAAATTATGCAAGGCAAGAATCCTGGTATAAGTACACATATAAGAGCCTATAGATTCGCATAATTTCTGAAAATCGATAAATCAAATAAAATATAGCATTCCCTCCAACAATCTATATGAAAAAGTTATTACGTTCAACTATACTGTGTAGTACTAAGAATAATATCTACATATTTTCAGGAAAGAGATCATGTATTGGTGAATCTCTAGCCAAGATGGAACTATTTCTATTCTTCACCTGTGTTCTTCAGAGGTATTGACCCTATGCACGAGTGACGTCACAAATACACATTTTTCCAGCTCAGTTCAGCTGGCCGTCTAGAAAAGCCCGGGAAAATCAAAACATCAAATATGGCGGAAAGCAAAACAACAACTGTTTCTTCTACGAGGAAATCGTCTCAAATATCTAAGTTAGATCATGAAAGTCTGAATCGATATATAACAAAAATTGAACCTTTGGACGGGGTTGACCCGTATAGCATTGATCGCAATAAATTAATTGGATTAATGTCACTTTCAAAAAAGAATCTCCCGGATTTTAGTTTTGGAGATATTTACCAGTACCTGATCAATACGCCTAGCAAGTTGTTCAACGGACAGACCTTGAAGGCCTACAAATCGCTTGAGGGATATCAGTACCTTGTTGCTGGTTATGTAAGAAATGTACTTACATATAGATGTACATCGGGATCTCTTGTTATTCTAGCTAAGGTAAGGTTTGTACGCCAAGATGTTATCTCACTTTTCTAAGTTTACTTCGGTCCAAAGCCTCCTCTACGATTTTTGTTGAATGATTTTAATTGTTGATAAATGTAACCAACGTCCTCTCTCCACTCCTCACGGTCACTACCGTTTGAAAATCGAGTCAGTGTGGGCTGCACTGCATATGTCAGTTTGTCTTTCAACAGGTCAAAGTTGCTACATAGTAAACAACTAAGTCGGACAGTGGTCGGTGTATACTGACCTGATTTATTGTACAGATGTTTTTGTACATCTAGTTGTAAACAAATAACCAACTTTCGATTGCGATCCAGTGTATCAATTGCCTTACACGTTAGCTAGATTTAAATTAAATTGTATCCATATTTAGGCCTACGAGGTCATGTCGTGAAGAATTGGTATCATCGAATAATAATTATATGATTACAGGTATACCATTCTCAGGCACTAAATAAAACACCACTGGAACCGTGGATAGCTGTGCATCCTAGTGGGGAGGTGATATGTGCTCATTGTACCTGCATGGCAGGTCTAGGGGAGGCATGCTCACACATTGCAGCAACTCTATTTGCGTTGGAGACAAGAGTCATAAATGTAGCTCGTCAGTCCTGTACCTCAGTTCCATGTGAGTGGAGCAGCGTATCTGACAAACCTGTTTCATACAGACCAGGGAGTGACATAGAGTTTTCAAGCCCATCCCACAAAAGAACAGCAATGTGTGCTCCATCAACAGCACCAACACGCAAGACTCGCAAAAGTGATAAAATACCAGGACCCACAGAAGAAGAGACTAATAAATTCTACAGTGATTTGAACAGTAGTGGAACTAAGTGTGCCATACTCAGCCTGATACCAGAATACTCCAAGTCATTTGTCCCACGTCCTGTATTGGTAAACTTGCCTAAAACGATACCTGACTTATTATTTGACCCGGATTTGCAGCCATTGACATTTCCCGACCTGTTGGTTAAGTGTGAGGATCTATTGCAGAAAATAACTTATGATCCCATCCAGGTATGTAATGTTTAATTTCAGATTCAAACGATCAGATTTTTTCTCACAAAACTACAAGTATATATGTCTGACCATACAAATAATGTACCGGTATTCGATTTCGTTCACACCTAATCCGTCTGCGGCGACCTTATCAATAATGTATCTAATCCTCCTAAATATATAAATGAAATGAATGTATGGGTATTGATATTTCATGCAGACATACAAAGACTGTGCACTTTTGATTATTTAAATTTAGGCTGCAGCTTTAGAAGAGACCACAAGATGCCAATCAAACAGTACATGGTACAGTCATCGAGCGGGAAGGGTGACAGCATCAATATTTAAACGGGCTGCCCGTACCAACCCAGACTGCCCTGCAATGTCATTAATCAAGCAGGTGTGCTACCCTGAGAAGATGAAGTTTAATTCTAAGGCCACGAGGTGAGACCATTTGAAATATTACATGAATGATAATAGAATTAACGTGTTTCTAAGGATTGATGAATTGTATCCCATATATTCCACAAGTTCTTGTTTAATACACAATGTATTAGAGACATTTAGCAGCTCCATGTTTTAACAGACAAATACATGTAATGTTTAACCTTAAATCATGCACCTGTGTAGAGAATCATGTCTAAATCAATAAAATCAAGTTAGCTAAAATATCAGATAGGATATATGTATTGATTCATGCAGGTAAAACTTCGCCAATATTTGTCATTTGAGAATCGTAAGAAAAATTCAATGAAACATCACCAAATTAAGTTAAATTAAAATGCTATCTTCATCTCTTCCAGGTGGGGGTGTGAGCACGAGGAAACAGCAAGGCAACAGTTCATCAATCATGCTAAGCCCTTACACAAGGACTTCAGCGTGTTACAATCTGGATTTGTGATCAATCATGAGTTCCCATATATGGGTGCCTCACCTGACGGTGTCATTAGCTGCAATTGCTGTGGGAAGGGAGTGTTGGAGATCAAATGTCCATATTGTTCTCGCCATGGTACTTTGTCAGATGAAGCTGACAGGGACTCTAGCTGCTTAGTTCGAAATGCAAATGGTGAGATTATTGGATTAAAAACAGATCACCAGTACTACTTCCAGTTGCAACTCCAGATATTTTCATGTAAAGCTAGCTATGGAGACATAGTTGTGTGGACTGAAAAAGAATTTTATTATCAGAGATTGCTTCCAGACCTTAAATTTTATGAGGAAAACACTATCAAAGTCAAGCATGTGTACCTCACTTCGATAATGCCTGAATTATGCTGCAAATGGTTCACCAGAGACACCACTCAACAGTATTTATCAAATGATCTAAGCTTAACCCTTGATGCCATTTGCATGTGCAGGCAAGAAACTGGAAATGGCGAGATAATTATTTGCAAGAATAAAAATTGTGCGATATCAAAATTTCACTTAAAGTGCATGAAACTCACAACATCAAGGAAGTCGTGGGTTTGTCCAGAATGTAGAAAAGCAAAGAAAATCAACATATAATTTGAACAGAAAAGTGATTGCTAAATTGGAATTTTATTGTATTGGTTACAAGCGAATGTCAACTAATACTCATGTAAATACAGGGTGGGTCAAAAAGTCCACATTTTATATTACAGTAGCATCAAACTGCATACCTTTTTTGTAATTGTAGATATGAATATGAGAATTGATTTTCTGAATGTATTACTCCATGTTACAAAATTACAGTTCGTGCTGAAGAAAGATACATCCTTAAGTACCACGTAAACACATAAAATGTTAATAAGAGTTTTATCATTAGAGGTATGTGAAAAATGTCAGCAGTAAAGTCTGAAAGTGGTGATGCAAATTAGGCATTGTAGATGCCCTCCACTAAATTGTAAATACATGTACCTCCAGCCATATTTAGCACAAATCAAACCTTTGACAAGTTACTGTTACTGTATATATTGTACATATTAGAGTCTATGAACATTATATTCCCGTCTTGTAATAATTTATTGGAACCATGAAACGTTTGAAAAAATGATGAGGTTTTCATTGATTGATAAGAGGAATAATTAAGACCAGTGTACATGGTGTAGAAACTGTCAATTTAAGGATTCTAAAATAAATCTCTCGACTTCATAGATCCAATGTTAGGAAGGACGTGAATTTATTTTCCAGGTTTGAATTAGTAAATATTCTGTATGAAGTGACACTGTGTAACCTCATCAGTTTATACTAGACACTGATTTTATACTAGACTGCAATGTATATTACGAATTGTGTAATTCAATCCGAAATATAACATATTTTATTAAAATGGTACAACTGATTCACATGTATTTGACAGGGCACTGGAAACAAAAACCACCTTGTCTAGAGTAGTAAGCCCAGTTGTTTCATCTGTTTGAAGGAGTGATATTGGTATTTTTGCACTAAGCATTGTGTACTTGCTCCTGACTAAACCAATAACTCTCTCAACGTGTATTCGAACAGAGGCTAATCCTCTGGTAGATTCCACCTCGTACAAACTTAATTGCGATTTTCCTCTTGTGAAAGCTGGGATTTCTACTTTTGCACCATGAAGTCCAACAAGATCTTGTATGTCAAAACCACGGTCTGCAAGTATTAAGTCTCCTGGCTGAAGCTTCTCTAGAAGACCACAATTATCAGTTAAATGTTTGTCACTAACACGTCCTCCCCAACCTTTGGAAACAAAAGTCACAACGCCTTGGGGTGCAATTGCGATAAGATATTTGATTGTATTGTTCGATTTATAGTGACTATATGTTGTTGCTCGAGCATCAAGGTCCTTTGGCTTTTCAATGAAAATTTCAAAACAGTCTATGATACCAACACACTTACTAAATGCCCCTAAAAACGACCGTGGTAGTGTAGCCCGAAGATTCAATAAGTCATTCGGCCATTTAACAAGTACAGGTACAAGTCTTGCGTTGCAAACATCGATTACGTGAGAGAATATTCGTGAAACTGTAGATTGATCGATGTTAAAGCGGTATGCTAAATCGTGAGTGCCAAGATTTAGACGAAGTCTCATCAAGGTTAATATGAATTGGGAAGATTTACTCATGGTTGCTCTGGGGACCAGGTGTCCAATTATCATGTTAAGATGAGCCAAAAAGACTGCAAATGTTGGCAACCCGGTATAATATTTCAGTTTGTTTTCGTTATTTTTAAACGTTTCCTCGTTAATTTCTAGGTTTCGAATCTCTTGCTGTAAGTGGTTGTTCTCGGATTTGAGTGTCTCAAGTTCATTTCTTAATGTAGTACAGAGTCTGCTCTTTTCCTTTAATTCCGTGTTTTCACGTTTTAGGTCCATCACTTCTCGCATAATATTATCCAACTCGGAACAAGAAAGGTCGGTCTGTGTACCAACACTCGTACCAGTGAACGTGTCGAATGTTTCACACTTAACAATATTCGTGACTCTGCATCTCTTTGAGGCATGACGTTCATATGCATGTAAGCTCTTTCGCTTCCTTTCGATCTCCTCGCTAGATTTGTACGAAAAGACAGAGGGAATGAAGTCGGGATGATCTTCAATATTTGACTTTTGTCCTGAAAATATGTGTTTGATAAATAAGTGGATTTGTATATACCCATGTCATGTACGCAATGGTCTCAATCATTTTTTTCTGTGTGAAATATCAATGTTAGAAAGGGATCTCAATTTTAAAAATTAAAACGGGGTGGAAACACTATGATTGATATTCGAGTGAAGCGCACATCAATATCCAAACAAATATTACAAAGGTTTATTTTAAGTTCTTAGTTTTCTCCATAAAAAGTACATGCAGAAATACCCGTGAAAATCAACGTGGCTCACCGACAGTCACATAATATTACTTGCATAGGCCTACTTCCCTCGTGTTTAATGATAGCGGTATTAACACAATGCGTGGTATTTAAATGTGCATTATTTACTGATAACTTTATAATTAATAAAATTTTATTTTACTTATTATTTAGAAAACCAGGTCTGTTTCGATTACTACACTGTACCTGACAAGAAATGAGCGCTGCAAAGTCGATCGTGTTCTTTTGGTTCCCAGTTTTGCCTTTTTACAGCATTTATCCATAGCTTTCTTTTTACAGGTGACTTCTTGTCACTCGGAAAGCGATAAAACGTAATGCCGACTTGTTCTCTATTCGAACATTCAACAGCAACGCAGCATTTAGGCATACTCTTTTAATTTTTTCTCATCACTTCGTCGCCATTTTGAGCACTGGTTGCTTATGACGTTTTCTAGACGGCCAGCAATATTTTCTGGCCGGACAAAGGCATGACGTCACACTGATGCATAGGGTCAATAAAGTGGTTCAACCCGAGGGTGTTGCATTACCATCAATGGACAGAGTTCCTGGAATTGCCATTGGCCCAAAGCCTTACAAGCTGAGACTCATCAAAGATTAACATTTACTTGACAGCAAAACAATGAATGATTACAAAATGCCTATTTATTGTACCTTAAACTGATGTGAAATCATGCATAATGAATAAGTAAATAAGTTTCAGACTAGAATACTTAGAGTGTGGCTACTCATTGACACAAGCCTTCAACATGGTGCATGTACGTGCACATCAATATTTTCTATGAATAATCAAAATGCTGAACTCAAATGGTGCTTTCATGCTTTATTATTTGACATGAGTAAATGGTTCTGATCAGATTATATCTTTTAGAATCATGAATAGCTAATGGATAACAATCATGTGAAAGTGGTTGAACTTAAAATGTCTTGCAAAATGTATCTTTTATCATAAATAAAATAAAAAATAAATAAAGATGCTAATGGTGGCATAAATTACTGGATTGTCTAGCAATAGTGATACTTTTTTGTTGAGAGTACTATAACATAGACTAACTTACCAGGAAGACAAAGACAAGAATAACTGCCATCAGTCCCGACTATACACTGGGACCCATGTTGACAAGGATCATATTCCTCACCACATGGATTATAGGGTATCTCACAAAATACCCCTGTATAGAATGGAGGGCATACACATGTCACACTGTTGAGTCCATCAACACACGTGGCACCATTCTGGCAGAGATTTTGACTGGTCAGTTCACATTCATTGACTTCTTCTGTACAGTTTTTTCCAGTCCATCCAACACTACACTGACATCTATGAATGACAAAAAACATTTTCGTAATATTTTGTCTATTGCTGTCTCAAAAGTTATAAATGCAACAAGTAGTGCAGAGGGGCCATTCAACAATCATGGACCAGTGTCAAAATATATTTAAGTTTGGATATTTCATCAAGACTAACATCTATTTTTATTTTCTACAAAGAAACCCCCTGGATAATCATTATTTCAGCTTATATTCCTCTTGAAACATGGTGGATCTTAAAAATATAAAAGTGGACGTCCCCTTTTTGAAGCTTTGAACTGAATTTACACTTTTTAATGCCAAAATTGATGGTTTATCCATACATTTTAAGAAAATAGGTATGTCGAAGAAGATGTTAAGCCATCTGTTGCCTTGATAGCTCAGAAAAAGTTAAAATTTTCCTATTTTCTCTCTACATGTACAAGCCTTATTGCCCCTTTAAGTCACATAAATGAAATGACAACCTACTTGTAGTCATTGAATAGGTCCAAGCATGCTGTACTATGGATCCCACATGGTTGAGTGGCACACTCATCTGTTTGGCGTTCACAAAACTGACCTTCATATCCTTGAAGGCATTCACAGCTAAATAGAAGAACAGGGTATGAAGATTTGAACTAGCCTGCCTGGAGGATATAAGGACAGTGCTCAATGAATTGTGGACAATTTTAAGCACATGGTTTTATATGATACTTCAAATGAGGGTGGAAACCCAAATTCAAAGGCTAACAATTCACTCAAGACATGATTGCACTAAAGCATCCACAATTCACTCTCTCCACACATCCACAAAGCAAATCCAAAGAACTTTTTTGCAAGCTTTTGCCAGAACATTTTGACCTTGATAAGCACCAACTCGACTAATTATTGGTACAATCTATAGTTTTTCATTGAATAGTTATCTTGAAATTATGAAACTGATGAGGGTAATCAACTTCAATAACCATTCATATGTTGTATAATATAGAATGAACATTATATACTGTGTTCTAATTCATTGTATAGGAAATGATACATGGTATCTTTTTTTTGTAATACTATATTTATTGGATTCAACATGGTATCTCAATGTCTAAATATTTGAAATGACCAGTAGGCCTAAAATCATTAACACGTATACCCTGATCAATATATGAACCAGAACAACGGCAACGCCAAAGCGTAGCGAATCCCATCGAACAGAAATGGCTGGCATTTTTACAAACGAAGCGCAAATATCATAAAACAACACACCAGAAAGGCCACCATTTTCAAAATGGTTGCTCACTAGCCAAGTTGTCATCAGAAGAAATAATATGCTTTTAAGTAGCCACCTCTAAAATTTTTTGAAAAATCGCACACGTACGTGTAAAAGAACACATGTAAAAATGGTGGCCATTTTTCAAAATGGCCGACTACTCCCCAAAGTTTTATTAGACAATGTGCAATGCTTAAAGTATTTACATATCAAATATGAACAAAATCGCTCCACTACTTTTCGAGTTATAGTAAAATACGTTAAAATGGTGGCCATTTTTCAAAATGGCCACCTTCTACCAAAAGCGTCATTAGAAATAGACGGTGTTCCATGCTTATAGTATTCACATACCAAATATGAACAAAATCGCTCCACTACTTTTCGAGTATTAGTAAAATACGTTAAAATGGCGGCCATTTTTCAAAATTGTTTTCAAAATGGCCGCCTTCTACCAAAAGTGTCATAGGACAGTGTGCCATGCTTATAGTATTCACATACCAAATATGAACAAAATCGCTCCACTACTTTTCGAGTAATAGTAAAATACATTAAAATGGCGGCCATTTTTCAAAATTGTTTTCAAAATGGCCGACTTCTACCAAAAGTGTCATAGGACAGTGTGCCATGCTTATAGTATTCACATACAAAATATGAACAAAATCGCTCCACTACTTTTCGAGTTATAGTAAAATACGTTAAAATGGCGGCCATTTTTCAAAATGGCCGCCTTCTACCAACAGTGTCTTTAAACAGTGTGCAATGCTTATAGTATTCACACACCAAATATGAACAAAATCGCTCCACTATTTTTAGAGTTACAGCAAAAATCGTAAAATGACGAGTAAAGACCGCCATTTTTCAAGATGGCTGCCATGTGCTTTTTAATATCTACATTTGTAGCATTATTAATGTCCTTTATAATTTTTTTTACATTTAAAACATATTGCTATTACAGTTTTACATATTGCACCTAAATTACTGTAAAATCGTCACTAAAATGGCCGCCATTTTGAAATGAGCGGCCATTTTGAAAATCGGCTTTCGAGCAGAACTTCTACCCCCATAGGGTATATGTGTACGAAATATGAACAAAATCGGGCCAACGGTATTTGAGTTATTGCCCGGACGAACGGACAGACAGACGGACGGACGGACGTACGTACGGACGGACGGACGGACGAACGGACGGAGGCGTTCCCTATATCCCTCCGAACTTCGTTCGATGGGATAACAACACAACAAAACACAAAGCAGTACCTGTAACTGAGGAAGAGATCCTTGCATGTGGCATTATTCTGGCAAGAATGATTGAAACATTCATTGGATGGTTTCTCACATCTCTCCCCCTTCCAGCCAGGCTGACACAAACACGTATATTCGTTTGTACCATCTATACATAAGCCCCTCCCTGAACATGCCCCTTGGGGTTCATCTGTTAATCTACAGTCATCTATGTTTGACTGACAACGCTGACCTAAACATGATCATACAGAAAAGATGATTTTTTGGGGAAACCATGGGAAGTCAACCAGATTGGAAAATTTCCCAACCAGTCCATCGCAGACTATTACAATTTATTTTTTATGATATTGTCAATTTAGTTTAAGAAGAAAGACATGAAGAAGCTGGCGATGTTTAATACTTTTTACTTCTTGTATATTAGATATTAGAAGTTCTCTTTAATATGGGTTGACATGATAAAACAAGGCATTAACATGACAACAATATAATTAGTTCAATCTTAAGTCAGGTTTGAATTTCTGAGAACTCTGTAGATGATTTTGAAAACAAATTGGTAAATTTGAGCAAGTTTTTTTTACCCTGAGAAGTGAGAAGGTCATTGAAGGTGAAATCTAAAATCTAAAGTCAGATTTGAACTTCTGAGAACTTGTAGGTGATTTTAAAAAAAAAATTGGTCAATTTGAGACAAGTTGAAAAAAGACCTTATTGACCTTGAGAAGGTCACATCTTTTCTGACCTTGAGAATGTCACTGAAGGTCAAATCATAGTCAGATTTGAACCTTTGAGAACTTCTTGATGATTTTGAAAAGAAAAAAAATTGGTCAATTTGAAGCAAGTTGAAAAAAACCTATTTGACCTTTCTATGACTTCGAGAAGGTCACTGAAGGTCAAATCCTAAATCTAAAGTCAGATTTGAACTTCTGGTAACTTGTAGATTACTTTGAAAAAAATTGGTCAATTTGAAGCACAATTGAAAAAAACCTTTTTGATCCTTTTTTACCTTGAAAAGGTCATTGAAGGTGAAATCTTAAATGCAAAGTCAGATTTGAACTTCTGAAAAGTAGTAAAAATTGAAGTCAGTCTAAACAGTATTTTTTGGAAGTTTTAAGAATTTGTTACAGACACCAACCGCCACCCACTGATTGCCAACCACCAACCGCCGCCAAAAAAAAGGAATCCATAACAATTTGTCACCACTTCTTGGTGTTGACATAAGAACTTAAAATTGCCAAAATTGGACATCTGATTTTGAAAATATAATCACATTTTATTTATGGTTTGCATTGATTATAAATAAAAAAAGCAAATAAGAACTCTTGACTTTAATGACCCCCAGAGTAACAGGAGTGATCTATAGTATGAGATTATACCAAACCTGTAAATCCAGTCTGACAGGAGCACTGAAAGCCATCAGGGAGGCTATCAAGATCATTGGTGCAGTTCCCATTGCTCCCACAGGGCAGTGTATCACAGGGTAGCAGCTGGCAGTTAATGCCTTGGTATGGTACCACACAGTCACACACATAGTAGCCTATGTTATCTCTACAGGTGCCACCATTTATACATGGAACTGAGAAGCACTCATTGATCTCAGTCTCACAATGTTGTCCTGAAAGAAACATTCAGACATTAAGGCATAAGTAAGTATACAACATGTACATGTTACTGTAGTGTTATGGTGCCATACCGCAAAAATATATCAAGCCACCAAGGGGAACACTGAAGATATCACAAAATACAGCAACATAAACATCAAAAAGTCAGCCACTCAAGGAAATCTCCAATATCCCAAACTGTGATATTATGAAGCACAAAAAAATGTCTACTACTAAATAACAATTCCCACCAATATATTTTAAATGCTCAGTATATTGGTTTTACATTAAATAGCTTTAAATCAACAACACAGTGCAAACAATAAAATAAAACAAAATCACAACTTCAAGGCTGTAGAGAAAGCATGCTGGTTATTAAAAAGTGAATTTATGTATCCAGGAGATAATCAAATCAACCTGTTACATTAAATGAAAAAAACACTGTAAAGTTGAATCATACAATATGCTGGCAATATTATTATATATGACTATATTAAGGCTATGAATACTCATAAACACTCAATAATTACAAATTACTGTTAAGCAATAAAAAATGCAAATTGTGCATGGTAAAGTTGATATTATTATTACACTTGGACACTGCATTAACAAATGGCTATAGACACTCCTGGGGTCACTTAACATTTTTTGAAAAATGCAATGTCGATAATATCCTTGATATGTAGGATCAAATTGTAGATAAATATGTATATTTTCCAGAAATAGCAATAAAAAGCATTCAAGATTACTGATATAAGTATATTTTGGTTGATTTGGGAGGTATGTATCACTTCCTGTGAAAATGTGAATTTTTTATCAGTCTCAGAAAATGTCTCCAGAATGCATAAACCCAACTTAGCAGATGTCCCATTGTTTGATTGTGTCACTCTATACACTCATTGGATTAATATTTTGTACATATAAATAGTCATATTTCAATAGTCATTGAGTAGGGATTAGTTATGTTTGCAATTGTGTTGACCTACTTTTTTTAAGATAGAGGAAGGTCATGATAAACTCTTGCTTTGTTCATATAACGCTTGGTTCTTACCTAGAAAGTTATATGTATTGATTTGAGGGAATAGTGTACGTCTAAGGTACTTCTTGAGATATGTAAAAATCTAGGTAAGGACCAAGCGTTGTGCAAGAATGGAACTTTTCTGCAATTTTCAGCATGAAATAAAATGATGTCAGCCATTTTGAAAATCCTTAGTATGATTGTGACAGTTGTGTTTTATATATTTGAGTATATTTTCTTTATTCTTATGATCTTTTTATGAACTAATATGTATGCTTGCACTGGAGCATGACCTCTTGAGAAGCATATATCTTTACCATGGCTCTAAGCAACATAATAACATGCAATTCCTTTCAATACATTCATATGAGATGATTGTCGTACAATCATTTTATCTTGATGTTTTGTGTATGAATAATTTTTTTATATTATCACAGTTCACTGGCTGATCATACCAATGTTCATATTTAGAAATACAGCTCAACTTTATTGTACAGAAGAAATATACTTTAAGTCACAATCAGTAGGCGGAAAAACGACAGAGGGAACTGCATGAGTGAACTGCAATCTCCCAGTACCCCCTGTATGGAGACAAGAGGGTTACATCTAAATCATAGTAGACTCTATTGAGATCAAGCCAACCAATTTAAATGATACACAGATGACCATCTTCAAGTAGATGGGAAATATACCATCATTGTTAAAAAAAGATACATATGGCCTAATTTGTGTAAAAGTCCAGTAATCTGGATGTGTCCTCTAAATCTCATTATACATGGGTGGAGTATAAACCCAGATCCAGATGTAATAGTATTGATGCAATCACTGGATGATGTTGTACATGCCTTGTTGGGAGTAGGGTTGTAGGCACAAGGGGTATAAAAGCAAAAAGAAATACACAAAGTTTGACATTTTAAAACCAAAAGATATGTATGAAATGTTGTCATCTGAGGAAGATGATGATAGCTCAGAGAATCTCTAATTATAATGAACAAACACATGAATGTGCTCATCAACAGTTATGTATAGTCCATGTGTTTACAAATGTTGCTCTTTGTGCTTCCTCACTGTGATGTGAAATAATAAATTCAGTATTTCACTGCCACAAACTGCATATGTGCAAATGATCTCAAGGAAGCAGATCAATATATAATAGATTGATATGCATTTTTGACTTGTTAATTACTTCATGTGTTTTCAAATGTTGCCCCTTGTTCTTTCTCATTGTGATGTAAATTTAAAAAACTCAATATTCTTTTCTGACATAGTTTCGCAAACTTTTTTTGTAGACAATTGTTCTAAATGAAGTATCAAGAAGATCACTATTCAACAATTTGTTTGTATTTTTGACTTATATTTTATATGTTTTCGAATGTTGCCCAATATGCTTTGTCACTATTATGTAAGATAATAGCAACAGGATCAATTTAAAAGTCTTAAATGATGATTACTTTGATAATAAATAGAAACATTGACAATAATGATGTGAAAAAGGTGATTTTTCCTTGAAAAGATCATTTTATACACGTTAATGAATGACCTATATTTTGAAATATAAATGAAGAATGACCTAATTTTTTGATCTGGTTATCAAACAAAGTCTCTTCTTTGATATCCTGTACAATTTTTTCTAAATATCTTGGGGGCTAATATAGGGTCTTAAAGCCACTCATCCTTTCAAATTGTATATATGCAGGATGATGCATATGCTTGAATAATTCATGAATTTGCTTACCAGAAATTTGAAGAACAAAGAAGAATTCCTCAAAAAATCATAAATGTTTATTCTTGTTTATTCTTAAAGATCCATAAAGATTTCCCCTTCTTTATTCATAAGAAATTCCTGATAATCAGGATTTTTATCCATTCATGGAAAGTGTGTAAGTTTGTATCGTATGATGAAAATTGAGGAATAAATGATGAACATAGAAGGATTGTGAAGAATGTCCAAATTGATATTTCTTTCTTTTTTGTTCTTGTTTATTCTTCACAAGTACTTGAAAGTTTATTCATGAATATTCCAGGAATTTAATTTGAAGAATTTTGGGGAAGTGTCCAAATTGATTTTTATGCATATTCATGAATATGAACATTTTACACGAATATTAATGAATAATTCATGAATATTCAGGAATTATTCAATGCCATTTCGCAGGGGTAGGGAGCATTTGCATTCAAAAATAGGCCTCATTTTTGTGAAATTATGACTTTTTGAAAATGAGCCACTATTTTTTACTTTAAGGAAGGAATCTGGCAATTCAACCCATCCCATAGTATACCTTGTTGTTACACACACAATACCCAAGACAATATAACATCAACTTACCAGTGTATCCCAAGGAGCAATTACAGATGTAGCCACCCAGTTGATCCAGGCAGACAGCATTGTTCAGACATGGACTTGACTCACATTCATCTACTTCCAACTCACACTGAATCCCTATAACATATAGCGCAGTCAGATGTCCCTTTGGTAGTTCGACTTTTTCAGGAAAGCAACAAACTTGGCACAGTTGTAGAAACATATGATCTGAATGAAAAATGATTTCGGGGCAAGTGATTCGGGGTGGTCTTCATGGATTGTAAGCCTCTGACCCCCACCCCTATCAGGCGGGGAGGGGGTACATTATAATAAAATAAATAAAAATATTTGTAAAGTTTATTTCTTTAAATGACTTCATTTGGTGATAGCTTTGAGCCTTGAAATTGAGAAAAACCTATTTTAGAAGTGGTGTTTAGGAAGGAAAATACATTTTAACCCAATTATCTAGCGTGAATTCATCTTTCAAAGGGTCAAATATGGGACATCAAGTACTGTATTTCAAGAATGTGATGTTTGATCATCCTGAAAAAATTCATACTAATAGAGATATAGGTGTTAATCACTCATATGATATATGGCTTGTGTAGCTCATGTAATTTTTGAGAAATAAATTATCGAAATATGGATATTTAAGCCCTTGCAGCCTAGGGGTGACCTTATTTTACCTTAATAATTTTTAAGATACGCAATGTTTGGGCCTCATATGAATTCTAAATGTTGCATTAAGTATTGTTTTGTCATATTATTCCTAATTAAATGTAAAAAAATTATTGAAAATTTAAAAAAAATCAAATTTTCATTTTCGGTTCTAAAGGGCCAGGGGTAACCATATTTTACCCTAATAATTTCCCAGATATGTAATATATGCATCTCAAATTAGCTCAAGATGTTGCATATAGTTCTGTTTTATCATACTTCTTCCAATAAGATGTAGAAAATGATCGGATATATCTAAAAAATCAAAATTTTCACTTAAGCTCTTGATGGCCCTGGGGTAACCTTATTTTACCTTAATAATTTTCTAAATATGAGACATAATCACCTCAAATGAGCTTAAGATGGTATATTTAGTCCTGTTTTATCATATCATTCCCAAGGAGTGAAAAAATGATTGGAAATTATAAGAAAATGACATTTTCATATTACACCCCAATCCTCAACATCTTTTTGCAGCGCTGTAAACAGTACTGAACAGTGCAGTCAGAGTACTGCACTATATAGCAATGTACAATGCTTTTCTAACACCATCTGTTTTGGACAGCGTAGTACAGTACTGTTTTTACAGCTCAGTACTGTTTTAGAAAACAGCTGTTTTCAGTACTGTTTTTACAGCACTGTTTATGAAACCATGCTGTTTGATGCAGTTTGAGATTGGTAGTGTAGTGTATGATAGGTCAGGAATGACCTAATTTTACCTTAAAAATTTAAACAAAGATATATCATATTGTCTACTCAAATGAGCTCAAAATAGTGAATATAGTCTAGTTTTGTCATATTATTGCTACTGAGATATACAATAATAATTAACAATTATAAAAAATGAACCTCGACAGCCATTTATTCCTTTTTAGTACCAATGGCAATACTATCTAGTTTTATAGAACATTTTCTAGGATATGAAAATGTTTGATAAGTCCAGTTCATATTCGCACGAGTAGTAGCATTGTTATGATTCTGTATATTATCATTTGAGTATATAATCCAAATCTATAAAACCTAATCAAAGGAGTCACAATATATGGATTCTGACAGTCTCTCCTACAGCTACATAGCTCAGATCTGCTTTCAAACATTTGCATCTGTTCTCTTGACACAGGTATCTACCCCATGACCTAAATTTTATGTTGTGGCCTCAGTATCAGCAGTGGGAGTAGTCCAGCCACATTCATGTGGTGATAGAAACTGTGAGTAAGAATGCACCAGAATGAATAAGGACTCTAGTCTTCTAATTTTAGGGTATCAAAAAAGATTTAAAGCTTAAGAACACTTGCGTAACCTCTGGGTACACCTTCTATTCCTGCAAATCAGTTGACTAAGAGTAGTAGCAGAATGCATCTGGCGATTGTATGAAAGATTGTATGAAAAATGGTAAGGGCTAAACTTCGTTCATAGCCAAGTGGCCTTGAAATATCTAAGGCAGGTCGTACATACTGGAGGAATTTCCCCTCACCATAGGCCATATGCAATCCAAATTGACATTTTCAGCACAAGTTACTGCCAGTTTAAACCACATCAAAATCAACTGTATTGACTATGATTCTTATTAGGTCATGACAGAAGCAGTCTTTGGCATGCTTCTTCATATGAGCGAATGGTGATGGCAGATACTTCACTATCGGGCTAAGATATTGCATTACCTCATTGTGAGGTCACTATCTTCTTGCCATCTTCCTCCAGGGTTTCAGTTTTGATGCCTGGAAGGAAAACAGCTCCCTCTTGTTCCAACTATCTTAGGAAATCTTGCCAATTCCACAGAAGAATATTAGTAGGATATACTTTCCTCACTGTTCCAGTTCTGTGCTGTTTGTATCTATGCTCATTAACATCAAAGTTGAATGACTAAGCTACATAGTAGATGCCAAAATAATAGACAGGGCATGTATAGTTAAACATGCTAACAGTGAAATATAAAGAAAATTTGGTGATTATGCAAATATGATATTACCCACGTAAAAGTCAAATAGTTCATTGCCTTGATGTCAGCTGGGATGTTTACAAGGACACTAGCTTAAAGGGGCAACAAGGTCTGTAGAAGATTCAATTTTTTTACTTTTTCTGAGCTATCAGGGCAATATTTGGCTTTGACATACCTAATTTCTTAAAATGTATGGATAAACTATCAATTTCAGCATTAAGAAGTGTAAATTCAGTTCAAAGCTTCTATAAAGGGAGTCCCACTTATAGGTTTTTAAGATCCAAAACATTTCAAGAGGAATCAGCTAAAATAATGTTCATCCAGGGGGTTTCTTTGGAAAAAAATAAACATATATGCTAGTCTTGATGAAATATCAAAACTTGAATATATTTTGACACTGGTCCATGATCGTTGAATGGCCCCTTTGCACTAATTGTTGCACCTTTAAAACAGCACTAGAGAGACTTGTGGAACTGGAACAAGGATAGTCTAAGTAGGAAACTGAAACCCTTAAAATGGATGGAAAGAAGATAGTGACCACATAAATTAAGGAGGCAATGCAATGTTTTAGCCCAACAGTGAGGTTCTGCCATCACCCTTGCTCTTATAAGAAGAAGCAGATTCAAGGATATTTCTCAATATTTTCAGTTAGACTGCTTCAATCATGGCCTTCAAGAGAAAGAATAATACACCTTACATTTAATTCTGATGTGGTTATCCTGGCATATATGTGATGTTAAAAACTAAAAAAGTCAATTTGGATAGCATATGGTAAGGGAGAAAACATATCAATATCTACCTGCCCATGACCAAAGTTTAATCCTCCCCATTTCTCATACAATCATTGGATGTGATGTTACATCTGTATTCTACTGCTATGGAAAAATGGAATAAATGGATTGAGATTTAAATGTGTCACTGAATTTTCTAATTGTTGTTAATCATATCTCAGTAGGAATAAAGCGAAAAACTATTTTCCCCATTTTGAGATCATTTTATCTTGAAAATTATTGTGATAACATTTGGCATTCTTGTGCCCAATCATTGACTGTCATTATTCACTGACAGAATCCTTGATAGAAGCAGCTCACCGTAACCCCCCCCCCCCCCCCATCAGGCTAAGGTGACTGGACTTACTACCCTTTGCATTCATTCGACTTTCCTTCTCAAAAGAGAGCTTCGTCTTCACTCTATCAGTTTTCAATGAATCTCTGAACTCACTGCGCTAATCAGAGTTTGTTGTCGAAATAAGGACGGCTTTCTAAATGGTCATTTTCTCTGACGAAATCGCATCATTAATGTGCACGCATTTACCACTTGTTCCTTCAAGCTCGCTGATGGTTGAGAATAGGTCAGCATGGTTTATTGCAGCTTGGGTCATAAATGCTTTAAGACCCAAGCTGCCAATGGCATCGGTCATGGGGACGGGGCTGCTAAACTCACTCCATCCTTTGCTTCAATATTATGGTAATATATGATAAAATCACCCCTGACCTGTCAAAAGCTAAAAATGTCATTTTTCAAATTTCCATTAATTTTTACATCTCCTAAGGAATAATATGACAAAACAAGAGTATATGACACAATTCTAAGCTCATTTGAGATGCATACGTCTCATAATTAAGAAAAGTTCAAGGTTAAATAAGCCCCCCCAGGCCATTATAAGCTAAAATGAAAATTTCAAATTTTAAGAAATTTCCAATCATTTTCTACATCTTATTGGAGGTATTATGATTAAACAGAACTATATGCACCATCTTGAGCTAATTTGGGATACATATATAACAAACCTTGAAAGTTATTAAGGTAAAATATGGTTACCCCTGGCCCATCAGAAGCGATAATGAAATTTTTTTTTTTTTGAAAAGTTCCAATCATTTTTCAATCCAATTAGGAATAATATGACAAAACAAGACTCAATGCACCATTTAGAGCTCATATGAGACCCATACATTGCATATCTTAAAAATTATTAAGGTAGAATAAGGTTACCCCTAGGCTGCAAGGGCTTAAAAATTCAAATTTCGATAATTTTTATCTCAAAAAATACATGAGCTACCCAAGCCATATTCCATATTTGTGATGAACATTTATACCCCTATTAGAATGAATTTTTCCAAGATGATCAGACATCACATTCTTGAAATACAGTACTTGATGTCCCATATTTGACCCTTTAAAAGATGAATTCACGCTAGATAATTGGGTCAAAATGCATTTTCCACACTAAACTCCACATCTACAATCGGTTTGTCTCAATTTCAAGGCTCACAGCAATCACCAAATGAAGTCATTTAAAAAAATTTACTTCACAACCATTTTTATTTATTTTTTATAATGTACCCCCTCCCCGCCTGATAGGGGTTGGGGTCAGAGACTAAAAAATCCATGAAGACCACTCCGGATCACTTGCCCCGAAATCATTTTCCACTCAGATCAAGTGTTTCTACAACTGTGCCAAGTTTGTTGCTTTCCTGAAAAAGTCGAACTATAAAGGGCTCATTTCTGGACATCTGACTGCGCTAATAAAGAAATTCCAACATTATCAAATATATGTTATATTATTTCATATATACTACTGTAACTCTAAGAATGTACGAAGGAATATTGAAATATTTTCATAAAATCATTATATATTATTTTCTGACAAGGAGTCTCTCAGAATTTCAAGGGAGTTTACGCTTTTCTCTCGTAAAATGTGTCAGCCATATGATTTAAAGAAAACACACTAAACTTGCAAACATAAGCCATTAGCGTGACAAAATGTCACCACCTAGTTGATCACATTATTATAAGTTCAATCTTTTATTTGAACTTCTGAGAACTTGTAGATGATTTTGAAAAAAAAAGGTCAATTTGAAGCAAGTTGAAAAAATACCCTTTTGACCTTTTTGACATCGAGAAGGTCATTGGAGGTCAAATCTTGAATCTAAAGTCAGATTTGATCTTCTGAGAACCTGAAGATGATTTAGAAATAATTTGAAGTCAGTCTAAACAGTATTTGTTAACTTATTGGAAGTTGTAAGAATTTGTTAGACACTGACTGCTAACTGTTACCGCTATCTGCCAAACGCCATCACAAAAAACTAAGCAATAACAAAATGTGACCTAAAAACTAGGTGGAGTGAAAACATCAGTTCTCAAATAATAAAACAGATCAGACAGGTGGTCTGTCCTTACTCAAACTTTAGTTGGTGGACATTTAACAAAGGCAGATGCCCCAAGCAATAGCTATATGTATATACAACAAGAAATAGACACTCCCTCAAATTAACCTCTCATATGCATATATTCCAGAAATAATTCATCCAGTGTACCTGTGTATCCAGTTGGGCAACTGCATGTGTACTGTGCTACTTCATCCAAACATGTTGCTCCATTAACACAAGGATCACTAAGACATTCGTTGTAGTTAATCTCACAGTTAGACCCTGAAAATGACAATGTTACATTAGCTTCAAATTGATTCCTGATTATATGATTGTAAATATGTATCCTTCATCTCAACATCTTAAGATGGACAATTTGAGGGACAAGGTATAATCTTATGATATACATGTACACCCACACAGGAGTAATTGCTGTAGTTCAATGAGGGACAAGGTTAATCTAATGATATACATGTATGCCCACACAGGAGTAATTGCTGTAGTTCAATGAGGGACAAGGTTAATCTAATGATATACATGTACATGTACGCCCACACAGGAGTAATTGCTGTAGTTCAATGAGGGACAAGGTTAATCTAATGATATACATGTACATGTATGCCCACACAGGAGTAATTGCTGTAGTTCAATGAGGGACAAGGTTAATCTAATGATATACATGTACGCCCACACAGGAGTAATTGCTGTAGTTCAATGAGGGACAAGGTTAATCTAATGATATACATGTACGCCCACACAGGAGTAATTGCTGTAGTTCAATGAGGGACAAGGTTAATCTAATGATATACATGTACGCCCACACAGGAGTAATTGCTGTAGTTCAATGAGGGACAAGGTTAATCTAATGATATACATGTAAATGTACGCCCACACAGGAGTAATTGCTGTAGTTCAATGAGGGATAAGGTTAATCTAATGATATACATGTACGCCCACACAGGAGTAATTGCTGTAGTTCAATGAGGGACAAGGTTAATCTAACGATATACATGTACGCCCACACAGGAGTAATTGCTGTAGTTCAATGAGGGACAAGGTTAATCTAATGATATACATGTACATGTACGCCCACACAGGAGTAATTGCTGTAGTTCAATGAGGGACAAGGTTAATCTAATGATATACATGTACATGTACGCCCACACAGGAGTAATTGCTGTAGTTCAATGAGGGACAAGGTTAATCTAATGATATACATGTACGCCCACACAGGAGTAATTGCTGTAGTTCAATGAGGGACAAGGTTAATCTTATGATATACATGTACGCCCACACAGGAGTAATTGCTGTAGTTCAATGAGGGACAAGGTTAATCTAATGATATACATGTACGCCCACACAGAAGTAATTGCTGTAGTTCAATGAGGGACAAGGTTAATCTAATGATATACATGTACGCCCACACAGGAGTAATTGCTGTAGTTCAATGAGGGACAAGGTTAATCTAATGATATACATGTACGCCCACACAGGAGTAATTGCTGTAGTTCAATGAGAGGGTTAACCTTTTTTGGCATGTGTACACCAAATGAAGCAACTCTCTGATATAAAGTTCATTTTTTGGGAAAGTGGAGGGAGTCACACAAGAACGAACATTTAAGGATTTAAGTCCCTTAGGCTATCGTTTACTTACCTGTGAAGCCATTCTCACAGTAGCATTCATAGGCAAGAAATCTATCTACGCACTGCCCATTTACACAGGGGGACCCAACACAATCATCAATATCCAGCTGAAATAGGGTAAAATCTATATGCATCCAGAATTACACTTAACCCATAATGAAACTGCATATTTGTTAAACAGATAAAGAAAGCGGTTATATCAATGATACATGAAGCAAATTATAAAAAATTAGAATAAGCATGATTAGAGTATTTTGGCAATCGGTGGAACAATTCTTGGGTCATTCATTTG